AGTGTACTTGAGTGTGTTTCAAATGTCTGGTCAGAACTAATGTGAGTCTAATGACTGAATTTATAAAGATAGCACAACTACTAGTATTAATTTTCAGATTCATATATATATATATATATATATATATATATCAGGGCTGTCAGTCGATTAAAATTTTGAATCTAATTAATTACAGGGTGCTGTGATTAATCTAATAGCGCTTTTCCACTGCATGGTATGACTCGGCTCGGCTCGGTTTGCGTTTCCACTGTGTGCTCGTTCAAAACAGTTGCGTTCGATCCTTTGCTGGCTGTGCTGATTTAAATCTAGCAGTTCTGTTGTGTTTGTGTCACAAGTTCAGTGACGCAGGTAGTGACGATTCTCTCCGACCAATCAGTGATCGGCAGAGTTTACACGTCATGTTTTGGTAACGGTACGGTTCACTTGGAACCTCAACCGAGGTGGTACTAAAAAAATTACCAGGTACCAGGTACTATACCCAGTGGAAAACCCCCAAAAGTGAACCGTGCCGTACCATGCAGTGGAAAAGCGCCATAATTAATCGCAAACTAAATTTGGCTGTGAAAATACCCTCAAAAGATCATTTTAAGCTATTATTGTGTTACATGTTTAAGCTACAACGGCCTAACATAGACTATGGAACATAAACGAAGATAATTTGAGAAACATATCAGAACTTTTTATTCATGCAATGAAAGTCACTGGTAAGCAAAACAGCTTTGTTACCAACAGTCTTCAAAATACCTTCTTTTATGTTGTGCAAAAGAAAGTAAGTCATTCAGGTTTGAAACAACATGAGGGTGAGTAAATGATGACAGAATTATTTATTACTTTATTTATTGATTTTTTTAATTAATTTTTTTAATAAATTAAATGATACTCTAAAGAAGAAACTAAAACTACCAACAGGTGGCGGTAAATGTCTTTATTAAAATTTGTAATATTTTAAATCATTGGTTCACACGATTCGTTCACGTGAATTCATTCAGAAACTAAACACTGCTGTGTTGCTCACAGACGCACAACAGTTCTGCTGTGGCTTTATAGGTAATATTTTCGTTGGCAATATTAAATAAAACAAATATAACACAATATAAACTTCTTGTTTACTGAACTGTTGTAATCTATATGTTTATATATGCAATCTCTATGTTGATATCGCTTATCATATGATATAATATGAGACAAAAACTCATTTTTGCCCCAGTATCTTGAATTTTAGGGCATAACTTCGTTTATGGGGTTGTTGCCCTGCATCATATTTGTCAACAGTCAACTGTATGAAATGTAAAATGATGTGCAGGTCTGGGGGCAGGGCCAGTGCGTGTATTTCCTCAGCGACCAGCACGGATCAGCTCCAGGCATGACGAAGCAGATATCGTCCTCTTTTGGAAGGCCAAACAAAGTAGTTTCACTTTCACAAAGAAACACACAGCGCCTTCATGACGTGGCGGCGGCGGCAACAATACTACAGCGAGAATAAAAGTTAAGCCTTCTTTCTTTGCGTGAACATTTGGGCGGCGTTATGCAAATCTTGCGGGGGCGTGTTAGGAGGAGCCGTTTTAGGTAGGCGTGGCTGACTCTTAACTTTTATAAAGAATATCTCTTTGGATTTGAGACTTTAGTCTTTGCAACTTTACAGATCTTCTTTATGCACCAAGAGCTTGTAACACTCCAAAGGGAAAGGAACAATTTAAATCGCATCATATGACCCCTTTAAGACTGGTTTTGTGGTCCAGAGTCACACACACACACACACACACACACACACACACACATATATATATATATATATATATATATAGAGAGAGAGAGAGAGAGAGAGAGAGAGAGAGAGAGAGCAATATGAATAATATATAGTTTACTATATACTTACTTGCTATATATATTGTATACTATATATACTAGTTTAAATTTGATTGATTTTAAAACATTTTTGAAAATAATTATGTGTGCTCTTACATGTATTCAAGGTGTAAATTGGAATTGTCATTATTTTCATTCATTAAATTTAAGCTTGTTAAAAATGGTATAAGTGTTTTAAAACCCATTTGAAAACAACATGAATAAAAAGCATGAATTTATTTCTAAGAACTTAGCCCATACTTGTTGAACTAGGTTTTGAAAAAAATTTAAAAGTAATATCCTGGACCCTTTTACTTGTCATTGATTTGACACACCTGTTAGTAAATACGGTTGTCAATTCCAAACACTGACTGTGTGAGCGTAACCCGAGATGCATGTGTGTCTTGGATGAAGATTGTGCCAAGCTATAAATAATAACATTTATGCATGTGTGTGTGTGTGTGTGGTTAGATTGTTAACATGTGGCAGACACTTGTGTTCAGTCAGAGAGTAGCTTGTGAGAAAATACAGCTCTCACTTTGACTTCAAATGTTCTTCTCATTCTTCAGCGAGCTTAGCAACAATCCAGTCATGATCAGATTAAGAAGACAAACACTTTACATAGATTTTGTCTGATCTCTAAACAATTAAATGTATCATTTTAAAACCGTTTTTAGTGTAAACTGTCATTTAAAAAGCACCACATCTTTAATTGATTGCATCTTAAACTTTGCCCTGAGGTGTGTTAAATGGGTTTGGAGGTTAACCAGATGGCCAGTGGGTCGCATCCCACGTTGCCCTCTGTTCTCTGTAGGGTGGCATCCCCAGTTAGAGCACTCGACCTGCCGAGGTCAGGGCAGCCACACAGAGTGTTTGATCCACACAGGCAGCCTGTGGGGTGTGTGAGAGAGTGAGTGGACAAAAGAATGCACGCATCTGTGTGATAGTGTGTGTGTGGGGTGGCCTGCATGGTCTATTTCAGGATGAAGGGTGGGGGGCATGAATCCTCTTGACCATTCCACACCGTTCAGCATTTCGATCTGGCATTTAGTCTGTCAGCTGTGCTGCGCCCACTGATGATGTGTTAATCAGACTCACAGCAGATGTGTGTCAGATGTGGGTTTCATGTGAAGGCTAAAAAGAGCATTTCCTTTTTTTGCAGTCTAGGTGTTTAAGTGCTTCAGAGTGTACTTGAGTGTGTTTCAAATGTCTGGTCAGAACTAATGTGAGTCTAATGACTGAATTTATAAAGATAGCACAACTACTAGTATTAATTTTCAGATTCATATATATATATATATATATATATATATATCAGGGCTGTCAGTCGATTAAAATTTTGAATCTAATTAATTACAGGGTGCTGTGATTAATCTAATAGCGCTTTTCCACTGCATGGTATGACTCGGCTCGGCTCGGTTTGCGTTTCCACTGTGTGCTCGTTCAAAACAGTTGCGTTCGATCCTTTGCTGGCTGTGCTGATTTAAATCTAGCGGTTCTGTTGTGTTTGTGTCACAAGTTCAGTGACGCAGGTAGTGACGATTCTCTCCGACCAATCAGTGATCGGCAGAGTTTACACGTCATGTTTTGGTAACGGTACGGTTCACTTGGAACCTCAACCGAGGTGGTACTAAAAAAATTACCAGGTACCAGGTACTATACCCAGTGGAAAACCCCCAAAAGTGAACCGTGCCGTACCATGCAGTGGAAAAGCGCCATAATTAATCGCAAACTAAATTTGGCTGTGAAAATACCCTCAAAAGATCATTTTAAGCTATTATTGTGTTACATGTTTAAGCTACAACGGCCTAACATAGACTATGGAACATAAACGAAGATAATTTGAGAAACATATCAGAACTTTTTATTCATGCAATGAAAGTCACTGGTAAGCAAAACAGCTTTGTTACCAACAGTCTTCAAAATACCTTCTTTTATGTTGTGCAAAAGAAAGTAAGTCATTCAGGTTTGAAACAACATGAGGGTGAGTAAATGATGACAGAATTATTTATTACTTTATTTATTGATTTTTTTAATTAATTTTTTTAATAAATTAAATGATACTCTAAAGAAGAAACTAAAACTACCAACAGGTGGCGGTAAATGTCTTTATTAAAATTTGTAATATTTTAAATCATTGGTTCACACGATTCGTTCACGTGAATTCATTCAGAAACTAAACACTGCTGTGTTGCTCACAGACGCACAACAGTTCTGCTGTGGCTTTATAGGTAATATTTTCGTTGGCAATATTAAATAAAACAAATATAACACAATATAAACTTCTTGTTTACTGAACTGTTGTAATCTATATGTTTATATATGCAATCTCTATGTTGATATCGCTTATCATATGATATAATATGAGACAAAAACTCATTTTTGCCCCAGTATCTTGAATTTTAGGGCATAACTTCGTTTATGGGGTTGTTGCCCTGCATCATATTTGTCAACAGTCAACTGTATGAAATGTAAAATGATGTGCAGGTCTGGGGGCAGGGCCAGTGCGTTAACTGCATTAAAATATTTTAATTGTGTTATTTTTCAGAACTAATTAAGTTAACGCATTAAACTAACATCCCTAATATATATATATATATATATATATATATATATAAATTGAATAAAGTTATCAAGCACTAAAATCTAAATTAAATATTGATGAATCGTTAAAGCTACAAAAGTGATTGATTTCCTCTTTTTTCTTTTGTTCTTTGATTAATAGACATCACAGCAGCTGGATTATTAGGTTATTTGACTGCTATCACATTAAGAGCTGCCACTGCTGAACGTGACGTGGATCTGACACGCATGCTCGTAGTTTCATTCGCGCTTTAATATGAAATGATACAGGCTACAGCGGGCACCTGTTGCTGAGATGAAGTTGGAGCGCGAGTCTGAAAAGTCTCCTGTTTAATGTGCTCATAAAGACGTTCTGCGTCTAAATAAATGCAATTCTTGTCAAGAAAAAAAGAGACAGAAGCAGCAGTTGTGAGTGGAGTGGCCAACCCTAGGCTAAAATATGTTTAACGCCGTTAAACTGGAAAAAATTAATCGCCTGTGTTAATACGCTAATTTTGACAGCACTAATATACATATATAATGTTTTTAAAGGCAGTTCAGAATGACCAAATGTGTGGGGGGTTTTTTTCCAGTAAAAGACCTTAACATCCTGTCCCGTCCATCTGGTTCTGATGGACCGCATGAATACCCCCGAAAGCCGACTCTGAATGAGGAAACGGAGAACAGGAGCAGCCCAGCACCAGGGTCTGGATCCCCTCGACTCACTCCACAGGACCAAGGGGGCAACAACAACAACATCTTGGTCTACGTGTCTGTACTGGCTGCGGTGGTGCTCGGCCTCCTGCTCTACGTCGCCTACAAATGGTGAGGTCATGCAGCAATTCAAAGAAGAAAAATACACTCTGCGAGGTTATGCACATGATTTACACAGAAATTCATTCAACTTGTATATGCTAGATTTAGAATACCATAACGTGTCTGTGAAGGGAAATATTATTCTTGTATTTACTTGATGATAAGCGTGTGATTTGGTGTGTGTCCAGCTGGAGGTCATGTCAGCAGAAGCAGGCTCTGGTGAAAGCACGGGTTGGCGAGTTGAATAATGTCGGGGAAGGAGAGAAGTTACATAGCGACAGTGGCGTGTTTCTGGATTCTCACAGCCTTCAGGAAAGCCAGCCTAGCAAAGGTATGAGAGAACAGCTTAAACAGAGATAGGGTTGGCAGTCCATACAGATTTCCTGATCATAATTTCTACTATTTATTCGTCTGTTTAAACAGTTCATAGCTCATAAGAGTCATGTGTTCTATTTCATTCATCTTTTGGAACTGTTTATTAAAAGAACTGGTTTATAAGAGTAATTTTGTCTATTCATTTTCTTTTTTAACCGTTCATTTGAAGAACTAATTCATTTGCCTTTTTTAACTCTTCATTAAAAAACTGGCTCCTAAGAGTCACTTGTTCTATTAATTCGTCTTTTTGAACGGTTCATTAAAAGTATCGACCCATACGAGTAACACAACCAAATAAAGAAACGCACTGCAAATGCTCACAACACAACCAAATAAAGAAACGTGCTGCAAATAGGCACAGACCACATCGGAAATGTTTAAGGGTACCGCAAAGTGACGAACATGGACATATTTATCAATGTTTGCTCTGAAAGGTGAGATTTTTGTTTATTTTAACATCCTGATTATTCGATTCCTTTGCTTCTTCTTCTTCTCGGCACTGTAGTCTACTCTCCCAGGATCAGGAAACAGTCCTCCATAAAATGCATTGCACACATCTGAATAGTTGGGTTGAACTGTTCTGGAACAGTGTTGTAAATACAACTTAACCACTGATTTCTAGTCATGTCCTCTTTTAGAAGGCAACGAAAAACACACAGTGTCTTCACAGCATGGCGGCGGTGGCAGCAACAATAAAGTTACACCTTCTTTCTTTGCGTGAACATTTGGGCGGTGTTATGCAAATCTTCCCACATCGTGACGTCACGATGTAATCAGTAAATTTCACATTACAGTAATTCAATGATACCACTGTGTCTGTAGCTACTATTCTCTCTAGTCTACAGGTGCATCTCAATCAATTAGAATGTCGTGGAAAAGTTCATTTATTTCAGTAATTTAACTCAAATTGTGAAACTCATGTATTAAATAAATTCAATGCACGGAAGTAGTTTAAGTCTTTGGTTCTTTCAATTGTGATGATTTTGGCTCACATTTAACAAAAACCCACCAATTCACTATCTCACCAAATTAGAATACTTCATAAGACCAATAAACATTTTTAACTTTTATTGAGATGCACCTGTACAGTACAATAATGAAACCTTAATCACACATTTTGTACAACTATATTTAATGATTGTACTAACAAATACACAGTGAAACTATGGGTATCTTGTGTGTGGGGGATCTAAAGTAATGTTCCTATGATATTTCATAATAAATTTGTTTGTTGAACCAATGCTTCTGCAAATGCAAGGCTTCTTTAAAGATATGGACGCAATATGCAACGTTTTGAACATTGGACAGCCTGTGTTACAAATATAATGACTGTTTTGAGTTTTGTGTCTAGAGTTTTGAAAAATGACATGAGGGTTCTGTTATTAGTGCAAAAATGATTTTATAAAGAATATCTCTTTGGGTTTGAGACTTTAGTCTTTGCAACTTTAGGGATCTTATCTATTCACGAACAGCTTGTAACACTCCAAAGAGAAAGGAAAACTTGAAATTGCATCATATGACCCCTTTCATTTGCTGGTGCTTTTTCTATTTGCATGTGTTTTCTGAAGTTGCAGCGCGTTGAGCTTTCTCGGCCACCGTACTATGACTTTAAAAAGACAAAACTAAGAATAATGCTTTAATTGAGAACTTACCATTCAGGCCAGAAACTTTAAGCAAACACGCGCTATTATCATCATTTAGCAAGAGAGACACCGGTTTTAAGATATTCACACTTACTATTCATGTTACACTATAGTAGCCTAATACTGTTTGTATGTACTAACAGAATTGTTTTGCACACAATTTTAAACATAAGTATGCCTAATTAAAATAAACGATCTGGGGTGCATTTCCCAAAAGCATAGTTAGCTAACTATGGTCGTTAATTCCATTGAACCCTATTGGTAACGACGGAACTTGCGACCATAGTTGCTTTTGGGAAACACACCCCTGAAACAATTAGCCTACACTTCTAACAATTACATTTGCAGAAAACACGAGTGATTCTAGAATTGCAGGTACATTTGGTGTCTGAAGTCATTACTTTTTTTTCAGCTTTTTTCAATTGGTTATATTTTTAATTATTTGAATGAATTACAAGATGTTACAGTCCATATAATATTTTTTGCAAAAAGTGTCTTAAATAGCTGAAAATCATGATTTCTTGTTGTCCGAATTAGTCAGTGCATTTTTTCCCATCATGTATCATTGTGTAATCAAAATATTTTATTGTACTTTTCTTTTTGTAATATTTCATTCATTTTATTTATAAAAGCCCTAAAGAGTAATTTACCTAATTCTACAACATTATTATATTTTTTTAAATAACATTTTTCTTATAAAAATGTGTGTCCGTAAATCTTGTCAACTCTGTTACCGTACCATACTTTGCCTTTAAATTAGTGGAATTATCTCCCACAACTATGTAAAATAAGGGAAATTATGTCACTTTCCCTCACTGTTAAGATCTGAAGCACTGAAAAGTCTATGTGCCCTCTCTAAGAAAATATTTTAATCTAAAAGTTCTTACACCAAGAGTTATTCTATAAAGTGTCAAATCTGTTACCACAATATCAAAAGGAAAACAGATTTTTTCATTGATCACACTTTGTGTTATTTAAAAGTCTTTTAATCATGATTTCATTAGTGCCATGTGCTCTTATCATTTATGCTAGCAAGTGGAGTTTTTGGCAAAAAATAAAGAATATTGTCAATTCTGTTACTGTCAAACTCTGTTACCAAGGTAGAGTAACAATGCGGTAACAGAACTGACAGTCCATCAGACAATTGTCAATTCTGTTACTTTACAATTCTGTTACATAAAGGGTCAACTCTGTTTATGAACTATTTTCACAAAAACAATACATTTGTTGTTTAAAATCCTAATAAACATGATTGATTTATTTTTGCACCCTTATAATATGTCAACAACATTTCTTTTTTTAAACTGGATATTGTATATAATACATTTTCAGATGAAAAATATTTGCTCCAAGTGGACGGTTCTGTGAAGACATAGGTATTTTTTTAATTTTAAAGGAATGCATAGGTGAAATATTATCTCAGTTTCAAGTGATGGAATGTAAGGACTGTTTGTCTAATGAAACAAGAAGGGTTTTTCCTGTTATGATTTATTGTTATTTCTACACATTGGCTAATTTGTCCGTAACAGAGTTGACAAACAATACCATAAAGACATCTGTTTTTTCATTCAAAGTAAAAAAGGAATTAACTTGTGTTTGGCAAGCACTGAATTATTAAAATTAAATATGTTTTCAATAAGACACTGAAAAAAAATCTGTTAGTGAAAAGGTTTTTTCCTGAACTTTCTGCAATGACCAATGTATCTCCAATTAGAATCACCCACATACTTTGTGTTCAAAATGTACCTAAGTGCAAAGTATTAAGCCAAGATGATGCATTTTCAAAAAGCACAAACACAAAATAACATTTGAAAATATAAAAAAAGGTTATAATTGCAGTATACAATATATTCAATTTTTTTATGACATTCTCATATTTTGTTATATTTTTGTAAAGTTATAATTTTGTTATAGTACTGTTATGCAATAGGCCTACTATTTACTATTTTTCATAGTGTGGTTTTGGTTAATTGTATTAAACGAGGGTTATTTTGATCTAATGGAACCACAAACAATTAAAAAACAAACATACAAAAATGTGTTGTCTCAGTTTTTTTTTTCACAGATAAGTGAGATTTGAGTAGTATTTTTTGACCATTGAACTGAGAAATGTTCCTGGTTTCCATTTCAGAAATCTGGTCACCTTAGTTGACACCGAGAATGCAAAGCCCTTCTAGCAATCAGGGATAAAACTCAAGAGCCATGCTTCTGAAAGACACTTCTGGATGTGGGCAGAAAGGACAATTGGCCCTGCTGTCACTGTACAACGTTTTGCAGCTCAGGTGTGTGGATTTCCTAGCGCTCTCTCTGTTCACGTCTCGCTGAAATATGTTAATGATTTCTGTGACTGCTCTGGTAAGTGAGAGCAGAGGGTTTGCAGGGACTTGGGCGGCTCTGCATGCCGTCACGTTCTCCAGACGGAGCTGCTTAACTGCGGTCTGGAGCAGCCCAGCGGAATGCCCTGGCCCTGGGAGAAGGGCTCTGCAGAGGGGAGGGGAAAACCAGCTCTGCTCAGATGGTTTCAGCACCATGTAGGCAGAGTCTGAGCCCTGGAAGAGCCTCTAATGAAAGCATTGCACAACTTTGATTATATGATTTAATACAGCCAGATCTGTGCTGTGGTGGCAGTCACCCCATAGGGTTTAAAGTCAACATGTATTTACTTTAATATACATTCTTAGTTATATTGTACATAACCCATCAGGGTACATTACTTAAAAAGAAAAAGAAATTCTGTTACGTAATTGTGATTTGTTGAAATGCTAATTACTTGCCCAGCCTCTGAAATGACATTCCTTTTTGGCTGACTTCACCTAGGACCGCCAAATATGATGATAAATTTGTGAGGGAACCACTTCCTAAAATATGAGGGCAACTAACTTTCATGAATTAATACAACCTACTGTATATTAAAATAGCATGTTTTTCAAAGTTAAATGGGCTTTTATATTGTCATTGTACTGAAGCCCCTTCCAAAAATACAAAGGTGTATTAGCATTTATGCATATTAAAATAAATAAGTGTGATATAAAACAATTGTTTCCAAATTGTGGCTTTTTTTAAACATTATACAGCCAAAAGAAGTGATTGATGTATTAATATATATATATTAGTGCTGTCAAACGATTAATCGCGATTAATCGTATCCAAACGTTTTTGTTTACATAACATATGTGTGTGTACGGTGTATATTTATTATGTATATCTAAATACACAAACACATATATTTAAGAAAAATATATATTTGTATATTAAATATATTTATATATACATGTAAATAAATACATGTGAATATTTTCAAAATATATACTGTATGAGTGTGTATTTATATAAATATACACAATACACACACATATTACGTAAACAAAAACTTTTATTTTGGAAGCAATTAATCGCGATTACTCGTTTGACTGCATTAAAGTAATGGCTGATGAAAATTCAGCTTTGCATCTCAGGAATAAATTGTGTTTTAAAGCAAATAATTTAATAGAAAACTGTTGTTTTAAATTGTAATACTATTTCACATTACTATTTTTGATCAAACAAATGCAGCCTTGATGAGCAAAAGATACTTCTTTAAAAAAAAAAAAATCTTGCTGATCCCAAACTTTTGAACAGCAGTATATCCAATCAACAACCAATGGAAGCTGATGAAAATTCAGCTTTGCATCTCAGGAATAAATTGTGTTTTAAAGCAAATAATTTAATAGAAAACTGTTGTTTTAAATTGTAATACTATTTCACATTACTATTTTTGATCAAACAAATGCAGCCTTGATGAGCAAAAGATACTTCTTTAAAAAAAAAAAATCTTGCTGATCCCAAACTTTTGAACAGCAGTATATCCAATCAACAACCAATGGATAGAACTAAGACTCTGCCCTACATTTTTTTTATTGAAATGTGCATCACAATATGGAGGATCTGTTGCTACTGTATATTTATCACAACTTAATTTTTTATTTTAATCAGCTTACTCATTTATTTATTTTTCTACTGTTTTTACTTCCAGACTCCCTTTGTGGATCCCAGTTTAAAAATACCCACTTTTAGGCTACTGTAGCAGTTAATGCATCCTCTCCAAAACCAAGGATGAACCCTGATGACCATCATTCTCCACGTCAAAGGATGAAAAAGCCTCTTTGGAAGCAGTAGGTGCCATTTTTGTGTGTTCGGCACCAGCACATTTAATCTCAGTCATCCAGGATTAAACACAGTAGTTTACGCCACACACAGGCATAAGGCGACAAGACAACCAAGACTTATTTTTAGAAAACAGTTTATTTTATCTTAAAATGTTTTTACACTCAGTATGACAATGTGCTTGCACAGTACTTACAGTGGAGTGGGGCGAGACTCCTATTTGTACATAAAAAAAAGACCCAAAGTCTTTCCACAGAGAGAGCAAAGGAAACGACACCCCCACCTTTAAAACCCAACCCAACATACGGAGCCGTGGGAGAGTGCGGAATTCTGCCTGATGTAGGAACACCGAAATCACGCCGACGGGACGGAGGACTCTGATCTAGTCGTATCCTTCCAATCCCGTTTTACCAGTCTGGCATAATTAGACATATTTACACAAGACATTGTGGACCCCCACAGTCATTTTACAAAGTCTCTGCTAATGGTCTCAAAAACTAACTCTCAATATATTCACATATAAAGCAATATAATACATGTTTGGAAAGAGATTTAATGCAGGTCAATAAGGTGGGGTGAGTTGATTAATGGCCAGAGTTTATGGGATAGTAAACCTGATTAATCCTTACGTGACGGCCACAAAAAAAAAAAAAGCTACAAACTGCCTGGAGGGCTTCACATTTGCCTTTGTGACATGAATAAAAAATGTTAATGTAAAAACAGTGTGAAAGACCTTGATAAAATATCATTGCTACATAGCCTTCCACCCAGTCGAGAGGAGAAACCAGACTAGGGCAAATGGGGTTAGATCACAGACCTGCACACTTCTATTTGAAAGTCTAAAATCCATAAAAACAATGCTGAGATGGGCGACCTATGTTCTGTGGGGTATTTTATCTGATATATAATCCTTAGCATCTGTCTTTCTCCTTCATTCTTTCTCGACTACTATCAGTGAGGGATTGGACCTTTAGCAGAGCAGGCAAGCTAACAAAAGCCCTTGGTAACAACTACAGTAATGGAGTGGGGTGACAAGGGAAAAGGATTTTAATGGTCCACTTATTCTTCACCCCCCCCGCCCCGCCCCCCCCCCATCTAGAACAGAGTTTAAGATGATCCTCTTCTCCCAAGTGATGAGACTTGCTTTAGAGATAATTGGAAAGAGTCTGAGTAGCACCCTTGGTTTGCGTCCTCCGCACTTCATACCGCAGCAGTTTATCTCATCATAAAAGCGTCCCCTGTGCGGGACAGCTCAGTCAACGCCCCCCTCCCAGAGCAGCATTTAGGACATGGTTAGAAGGTCAGTGGAACAAAACAACAGGACTCGAGCTTGAGCTGCCCTGTTCTGACACACCAAAACTGTTCAGGCCAGAGGTGTTCGGTTGGAAAGAGCTGCCAGGAGGTTCCTGGGTTTGCTAGTTAGTCCAGCTCTATGTCTTCCTTGGGCCGGTACACAGCGCCAAACTTCTGCATGTACTTCTTGATGTACTCCTTGGTCTTGTGTTTGACGTTCTCATTGCATTCAAGGTCTTCGGGGTTCTTGCAAGACTTCAGTTCCTTGTTCATCACCCCATGAGTCAGCTGTGAACAGATAGACAGACACGCATACCAAAGGTTTAGAGACGCAGCAACAACATCATAACGAAAGACTTCAGTGACCGCACTGTATTTCAAAAACAACGATTTCTCCAGTTTAAAGGGATACAGACTAGTGTTATTTTCCTTAACGAAAACTGACAAAAAACTTTTGTTGACTAGCTTTTTTCCCCCATGACTAAAGCAAGACTATGACAAGACGAGAATAAAGTCAATAAACGATAACTGTGACTATATCAACATTCAGTATCGTTGATGATAAAAGATGATACAAAAATGTATTTAAAAAAATAAAAACTATACCAAAATGTAATTTGTCAAAAAAATTTGACAAAATATTATTGCGGCCTGCTGTACTACTATGCCAGCTTGTGTGCGATATCAGATATCAAGAGTTCAAACCCCCAAATCAGAGCTTATCTATTAAAAGGACACATTTTCTGCTCGTTGTTTTGCTTAATTTTTGCAATTTGGCAACCATGTGCACACGCTCGCTTGTCATTGCGGAAGCACCTACGATGATCTGAAAACACCGACAAACAAGTAAGCTGAAGTTTAGCGATCTTCATGCGAGACGTTCGGCTTAAATGAAAGTGTCATTCAGGCAGTCTGTATTCTGTCACGAGATCTCGACTTGTGGTTGCAGAATAAATGCACTTAAATAACCGCTGTTGTTTTAAACAAAGCTTTCATTGACTAAAACTAGCCTGAACAAAAACAGGACACGGTTGACTAAATATGACAACTAAAAAGTACATTTGACACAGGACTAAGACTAATTTAAAAGGCTAACCCCCGGTTTCACAGACGAGGCTTAAGCCTAGTCCCAGACTAAAATGTAAGTCTGAGCTCTTTCAACTAAAAGAAACTTGCACTGACTGGTCTTAAAATATATCAGTGCCTTTGTTTTGTCTCAAGATGCACACCAGTAATGTTTTCTCTAAGGCACGTTTATAAAAATGACTTAAATGTCCTAATTGAACTATGGCCTAATCCTGGCTTAGTCTAAGCCCCGTCTGTGAAACCAAGCCTAAGACCAAGACTAAATTAAAAATGGCTGACAAAATGAACACAGACACAGACAGACAGATAATGCAAAGTGGAATGAACCAAGAAGACCCCATCCTATATTTTTTTTCTTTTCTTTTCATTAATCCATTTCACATCACAATACGGAAGAAAAGATCTGTCTCTGCTCCCGTTATATAGTTTTAAAAGACAAGGGGGAAAAAGAAAAACTGCATGATCCAAAGATGTCTGTCTGGGTGCATATGGCTGGCCTTATCTATTTATCTGAGCATTCAACAAGATTACATAAAACAATAACACAAGAATGCTCTTTGTCCATTTTTTGTTACCTTTCTAGCGAGATGTTTGAAGTCTTCTGTGTTACTGATGCGGCCCAGCATGCAGTCTGGCTTGCGGTACGGATTAAGGCATTGCACAATAAACTGTGACATCTGAAAAGATAACCAGGAAAAATTGTAAAGTTAGACGAGTCGGACAAACATGAGCTACTGCTATAATTATTTGGTAAACCCAAGTAAAACCCAAGAGAATCTAAAGCTCACCTCCTTGCGGAAGACTTCTTTGCTTTTTTTGGCCAGCTCACTGGACGTGTCTGCCTCGGCGGTCTTTGTAGAGAACTGTGCAAAGAGGACAAACAAAAAAGCAACACATTAAATTATATACTGACAGTTTATTTGACGTATTACTCATGCATGAGTATATAATCTAGACATTGTTTAAACATTCTTTTCCAAAACATACTTGGGAGTCTAAATTCTACAACAAATAACATTAAACACTGCAACTCCCAGAGTCCCCTTAGGCAGCCGATATGACATGAATGAGACTTTATGTTGAATCAATGCCAAGACTGTCAATACTCATTGTCACAAGGTCCCAGAAAGAAACCCAAAGGCCAAACCAGTGCACATCAGAGGAAATGCTAACATACTGACAACGGACAATAAAACCCTTTGGTAACAAAATCTGTTAAAAGCTTAATAGTTAAGATATTTTGAAGTCTAAAACGAAAGGGCGATTGTTGAAAAGACCAAAGAGATTCTGCACAGTTCCGACTTCCAAATGAGAAACCACATATAAATGAATACAGTTTCAACAGCTGGGTTTGATTAGCATCAAAGAGAGCCAGAGAAAACACCAGCAAAATCCTGAGAGAGAAAGAAAGAAAGGCGGAGTGGGTGATGGGGGAGGGAGGACAGCAGAGAACACAGATCAAGATGGTTATGACCTGTGAAATGACATGACTGTAAAACAATGTTTATTGTCACTTGCTCTTGACTTCATGTTTCAGTTTGGATTGGCCTGGTCAGACCTCTTATGTATTTGCATCATATGACGCATCTTAAAAGCCGATGCCTTTTAAACACCGAGGCAAATTTAAAAAGTGTTTTCCTCCGAACTCCCAATAGCTTTTCTCTATGTGGACGAGCACCAGCTGTGAACCATTCCATCGTAGATGGCTGGAACAACATCTTCAATTATCTAGAGAGGTTGGGACAGTCTCAGACCCTACATGTGTACACCAAAGTGAACTCTAGAATAGGGGTTGTTAAAATGACCAGTGCGCTTTGATACTTATTCAGTACTAAATCAATCAAAAACATAAAAATACCAGTCTTTTTCACATTATTTGGTACGTAATATGGTACCAACACTGTCTGAAAGGCTGCTTCAAACGCTCACACGTGTATGTTCATATGCTGCAAAGGTCACTTGTGCCTCGTGGTAATTTTGCTGCATGCAAGAATGATTAAATGCATGTCTTGGTCAAAATATCCGTCTTGGTAAGGTATTAATGTAAATACAGCTGGGTTTTGTAATAGGAAAGTAAACAGGAATGTGTCTATAACAGCAATATTGTTACAAAAAAACAACAACTATTCAACCTATCCCCCTAAAAAAAAAAACATTGCTTTTTTTTTAATCTAATTTATTTCTTTGTTTCTTACTACTGACAGTTTGTTTTCTTTATTTGGCATTTTTATATGAATAGAATTAATATTTAAAATTAAGAAGAGCATTCATTCCACACATTAGTATTATTTAACATTGTGAACTGCAGGGGGAAAAGGGAGTGATATTTCATATCTTAAAAACATTCCGTAGTCCTTTTGTGTGACCTTTATTGTTACTGTACCTTTAAGATATTTCTATTCAAACGATCGCTGTTCTTAAAGGGATAGTTCACCCAAAAATGAGAATTCTGTCATTATTCACCCTCATGTTGTTCCAAACCCTTAAGACCTTCATTCATCTTCGGAACACAAATTAAGATATTTTTGATGAAATCCAAAAGATTTCTGACCCTGCACAGACAGCAAGCAACTACCATGTTCAAGGCCCAGAAAGGTAGTAAGGACATTGTTAAAATAGTCCATGTGCCATCAGTGGTTCAACCTTTATTTTATGAAACAACGAGAATATTTTTTTGCATGAAGAAAACAAAAATAACGACTTTATTCAACAATTTCATCTCTCTTCCATGTCAGTCTTTGACGCGCATTCACAAGAGTACCACGGCGCATGCGTGTGATGCTCTTCTGGTGTAGAACCCGGATGTACTGCGCCTTGTTTTAAAGCTTAGCAATGTACACGAGGCGGAGACTGACATGGAAGAGAAGAAATTGTTGAATAAAGTCATTATTTTTGTTTTCTATGCGCACAAAATTATTCTCATAGCTTTCAGATTTCATCTAAAATATCTTAATTTGTGTTCCGAAGATGAACGAAGGTCTTACGGGAGTAATTAATGACAGAATTTTCATTTTTGGGTGAACTATCACTTTAACTTCTTTGCATATAAAATGAGGATTACAAATGTCCCAAAATGTAATCGCGGGCAGGCATACGTTAATATGATTAAGGTGGTGCCATCAACATGGTGACAATTTCTGAATTTTTTCGTTGATTTTCATGAATGGGCTGGGTGGACCAGGGTTGAAGCTGTTTTATTTAAGAAGTACTTCTACAGTACTTCAAAGTTAAGGTTGATGAAAATCCTATGATATTGCCCTAAGCCTGATCAAACTTACTTACCTGTGATTTTCTAATGATCCTGAAGACATTGATTAGCATGCTCAGGTGTGTTTGATTAGGGTTAGAGCTAAACTGGATCTCGTGGGCCAGATTTGAGGATCCCTGGTATAGGCCATGTGACCATATTAACTATGCCAATTAATAACATGTAGGTGCTGCATCAGATTTATGTGCATCACGCTGAAAGTGCACCAAACCTGAAACGGTTTACAACCTTATTAAATTTTGTTTCTGTCTTTCTACTAGGTTTGTGCATGAGTAAAGGCCCAATCACACCAATGCATGATAAGTGTGGTTGTGTGCACAGTTATGTCATCTGCCACTTTAAATGCCTGCACTCTTTAAAACAGGATGAATTCTTATTGGCTGTTTATGTTTTTATCAGTCATAAGCTGGAAAAAAATAAATAAATCACCTGATAGTGATTCCAAAGCTATTGTGTCATTATCATTATAGATGTGGTGTGGACTCTGCTATTCTTTTCAATTTAGAATGATTTTTAAAACAATATCTTTATCGTTATAATTATCGTGTGTTGGTGCAAACAGGCCTAATTTTTTTAATCTTTTCATTGATTTATTCATTCTTCAACAGAAATGCACAGCTTGTGAAAGTCAGCTTATTTTGTTTTTGGTGGGGGGAAAACATTTCGTATACATTTAAAAAAAAAAAAAATTAAATTGAACTAATTGATTATGTGTATGTATACACTATTCAACTATAAAATTACTTAAATTCAAATTCTAAAGTCCCAGCATTTCTTTATGAACAATTAGAGACAAAGGAATGCTTAAAAAAATAAAGATGGTGAGAACGAGAGAGAGAGTAACAGCACCCTCATCTGGTGAAAGGCCTGAGTTGCATACCTGTTGAACTGTCTGAGATGTGACAATGGTGGTGACCGTGCCGCCCTGCTGCACAACCACACCCTGCTGATGACCCGTGTACACCTGCTGCCCATGTAGGTAACTGGCAGCTGGCTCAGTGTATGTCTGCACACAAATACAAGCGTAATGCTTAGCAGCCATCGTTATACAACATTAGTATGAAGTGTTCACTCAAAAAAAACCACCACACTGAATACATTAACAGGTTATGTACGGAGCGATCATTGGGTGAAGATGCTGCTTGAGAGTCAGATACACTAGTGTGTGACAGCTATTACATTCATATCTCACAGCACTAGTCCCATTTGTGAAAACTGTTCTCATTAAATTTTCTTTCCAGTGAAGCCAATGTTTTGAGATCTTTTAGGATATTACCGTGCCTGATTTGTAAACCAGCATGTTTAAGGTCACAGTGAAGCAGACATAGCAACATATCTTTTCTTATGTTTTTAAATGCATATGTGAGTGGACTATTAAAAACAACACCACCAAAAAAAACAACAAAGTATGTAGCATGGGAACTTAATTTTATCTATTAGTAGTTGATTGGATTTTGAGATGTGGGCATTGCACTTGGAAATTAAGACCAAGTAAGAGTCGATTGTAAGAAAGGGGCAGGGTTTAAGAAGACTAAATGATTGGAGAAGTCCAGGCAAAAACGCACCAGAGAGAAATGTTATTTCATCAGAAGATCAGGTTATTTTAGGGGTAAAAAAGGTCAGCATGTTTTGTTTTTTTTAAAGAAACATGCTTGAATGGGTTATTCACAATAAGATCAATAACACTGATTTAGAAAGCAGATGGACTTTTGCAGAACTAGTTTTTCCAACTGCCTTTTCTTTGGTGGAAACACACTGTGATTCCAGAATGCACTGTGGTAGAAAAAATGCAAACAGACTGGCTAACAATGATAAACTGATTATTTTCATATTATGGCTATTAACTGTTTAATTATATAAACATTCTACTCCATTTGGGGGAAATTAACATAACTATATTATCTGCCAGTAATCAAAATGGTACAGATAATGTTGTGCATCCCTAACTTTTTTTGTTATTTGTAAATGTCTCATTTGCTATCATTTTATGAAACTGCATTGCATCATATTTTGTATTTACATATACCACTCTGCTCTCTACATATCTGCATGATATCAGCTGACCACTACGTGAGAATGAGGATTGAAAGGAAAGTATTGGTGTCCAACCTGTATGACAGGAGTGTTGGTTTGTGGGTAGCCTGCAGGAATGCTATAGATGGTCTGGCAGGGCTGGCCCTGATAGTAGATGGCAGTCTGAGGCTGTGCCGTGGTGGAGTACTGCTGGGTTGGCTGCGTCTGTACCGTTACCGCTTGCTGTGTGTTGGGGTCCCAGAGTGTGGTGTAACCCTGCTGACCCTGGATCTGTGGGCTGGCTATTTGCGTAGGCACCGACAGGATGGCCATGTTCGGGTCCTGTGCCGGCATAGCAGGCTGGACAAACTGCTGAGTCTGTGTGCCAGAGGAAAGCTCCAGAGGGATATGTGCCAAGCTGGAGGCAGGTCCGGCCTGGGTGGTGGTGGAAGAGGGTGAAGCTAGATTGAGCTCTGATACGATAGGCTGAGTTGGTGTTTGTTCGAATGTACCAGGAGCTGGGGTGACACAAAGAGGCTCTACAGCAGGTGTGGGCAAAAGCACTTTTCCTGCATTGGGATTGGTGGGATCCACGTAGGCCTGGATAGGGTATCCAGGCGGGTAGGCCATGAAGTTTGGACTGGAGGTGTAGGCCAGTGGGTTAAATGCAAGAGTCTGTAATTGCTGCTGCTGTTGTTGTTGTTGTTGTTTCTGAGCCTCCCGCTGAGCCACTTCCTGCTCAAAGAGCTTTCGTCGTTCCTCAGTAGACAGCTTGTTACGAGACTCTTTGGTGTGGAGTTTCTTCTTGCTGCTGGACTGCTCATAACTACAGAAATAATGCAGGAAGATCTAGGTGTCAGTAACCACACTTTGAACATGGAAATCTATGTGACCCATGCTGGCAAAACAAGTTGGAGTGCACACAGGCTAATTGTGAGCTACAGACAAAAAACAAAAAGTGCAAGATGTCGATTTTGGTCGAATTTCAGGTTTTCACAAAAATTAGTTCATTAAGTACTTGTCTAGTAATCCCAATGCTCCAAGTAGTAATTAAACATCTAAAATTATCTTTGTATGTTTTCTAAGAGGAGTACCTTTTTCTCTGCTCCCTTCTTGCGCTGCCGCTGACTGACATATGAATCGTGCCCATAAAGGCGCTTTCGCTAGCGAGCCATACCGATAAACATACACACAGCGTATACACAGAATTACAGTATTTAAGTAGGCTATTCGCACAAACATAATCTGTTGTCTTCAGTAAACGTTTGGGGAACTGTTGGGGAAAAACATCTGATGTGTAACATTATATTAGATCCGTGCAGTACAGGGGGCTGTTTCATAAAACAGGTTTACCAAACAAGCCAGGCTTATTTCAGTTAGTCGGACTTATTTTGAACCAAATCAACTGACAATAAGTCAGACTAACTGAAATAAACCTGGCTTATTTGGTAAACTTGTTTTATGAAACAGGCCCCGGAACTTACTATATAGGCCGTATGTCTCAATGTTAAACAATAAAAGAAAAGATCACTGCTCTTGATTGCTTTTGTGGTTTTAATAATCAATTTATTTGTAATGAACACACTGAAGTGATTTTTACATTTCATTATTCGTTTTTCTTATTTGAATGCTTTTGTTTAGATGTAAAATGAAAAAAGTAGTGCACTAGGCCTATTTGTTTGTTTCTTATATTTGTTCTACTGTTTTTTCTTTTTTGCATCTGTTCTTATTTTTAATAACAAAGAAAAAAAATGGCCATATTGTGATTATTAATATAGTAATTAATATTAATAAAGGAAGAGGAGGAAACAATGCAATGTTGTTGGGTGATTTTGCTTTGGAACGTTCAGAAAATTTCAATTTGATTTTTCTCAGAATTGACTTTGCTGACTTCACACAGCTCAGTCATTTTTCATCCGATTCCAACAAATCATATATAATTTTGAAGGTCTTTTAATGTGAAAATCAACTGACAATAAGTCAGACTAACTGAAATAAACCTGGCTTATTTGGTAAACTTGTTTTATGAAACAGGCCCCGGAACTTACTATATAGGCCGTATGTCTCAATGTTAAACAATAAAAGAAAAGATCACTGCTCTTGATTGCTTTTGTGGTTTTAATAATCAATTTATTTGTAATGAACACACTGAAGTGATTTTTACATTTCATTATTCGTTTTTCTTATTTGAATGCTTTTGTTTAGATGTAAAATGAAAAAAGTAGTGCACTAGGCCTATTTGTTTGTTTCTTATATTTGTTCTACTGTTTTTTTTTTTTGCATCTGTTCTTATTTTTAATAACAAAGAAAAAAAATGGCCATATTGTGATTATTAATATAGTAATTAATATTAAGAAAGGAAGAGGAGGAAACAATGCAATGTTGTTGGGTGATTTTGCTTTGGAACGTTCAGAAAACTTCAACTTGATTTTTCTCAGAATTGACTTTGCTGACTTCACACAGCTCAGTCATTTTTCATCCGATTCCAACAAATCATATATAATTTTGAAGGTCTTTTAATGTGAAAATAATAATTATTTTTGAAAATTTGCTCATTGTGACTCATTTTGCCAGCACCGGTCAACTATGAATGAAAATTAGTCCATGCTATTTCAAACACTTTCTCTAGTTTTCCATTAAAGGGATAGTTCACCCAAAAATGAAAATTATTTACTCACCCTCAAGCCATCCTAGGCGTATATGACTTCCTTCTTTCAGATGAATCCAATCAGAGTTATATTAAAAATTGACTTAACGGCAGTCAGCGGGTGTTGCAGTTCATCAGTCCAAAAGAAGTGAAATAAAGCGCATCCATCCATAATAAAAAGTGCCTCAGATGGCTCCGGGGGGTGAACACAGGCCTCCTGTAGCGAATTGATGCGTTTTTGTAAGAAAAATATCCATATTCAAAACGTAATAATCACTTTAATGTAGCTTGTGCCAACAGTTGTACACGGAAGCAGCTCCGGGCGGATGACGTAAGATGTCGGCGTTGTGCATGCGCCGGTGAGTCTCATGAAAACCAACGTTTGTTTACAGGAGCAAAGTTTCCTTATTTTAGCAAAGGAAAACCAGTCTCCTCTTGGCTTATATCGAAATCCTACGACATTCTTCTTCACAAATCTTCATTTAGTACTTCTAATTCTTGACTGTTCTTTTGTTTTGATCTCTCCCCTGCGCTGCCGCATTCATCATTTCTGAGCTGCGCATGCGCAACGCCGACATCACACGTCATCCACCCGAAGCTGCTTCCCTGTACAACTGTGAGCGCAAGCTAGATTAAATTGATTATTACGTTTTATATATGGTTATTTTTCGTACAAAAACACATCGATTCGCTACAGGAGGCCTTTGTTCACCCACCGGAGCCGTGTGAGGCACTTTTTATTATGGATGGATGCGCTTTATTTCACTTCTTTTGGAATGATGAACTGCAACACCCACTGACTGCCATTAAACAGCTTGGAAGATCAAAGTAAATTTTTAATATCGCTCCGACTGGATTCGTCTGAAAGAAGAAAGTCATATACACCTAGGATGCCTTGAGGGCAAGTAATTCATGGGCTAATTTTCATTTTTGGGTGAACTAACCCTTTAAGCTTGTATGATTTTGGAACAACATAAGTGATTAAATAATTACAGAGTTTTAAGTATTTGAATTATTGTGTCTTGTTGACGCCGATAGCCTTGTGAGCAGCACGCCAACATAAAGCACCGTTGTGCTACGTTCCGAGTTCAAATCTTGGCTCAAGGACCTTTCCCGATCCCGCCCCCCCCTCTCTCTCCCATTTCACTTCCAGTCTCCTCAACACTGTCCTATCACAATGAAGGCAAAAAAAAAATTGCATCTAAAATCTTACCGGTCATCATTTCTGCGGCCCCTCTCATAGGCTGAAGGCGGTAGAGGGGAGGTGGAGCCTCGTCGTCTTTTTCTATCTGCACTGCGAAGAGACGATCTCTCTCCATCCCTCTCCCGGTCCCGCTCACGCTCCCGGTCTCTGTCCCGGTCTCGATCCCGATCGCGCTCCTTATCTCTTTCTCGCTCTCTCTCTCGACTGCTCGAAGGTGTGCGAGGGGTCATCAGGGCTTCTCGATCACGACTGCGATCTATTTGAGGAAAACAAAGGATGGATTAGAGGTTATTACAAAAAACATATGAAGTGGTTAAAATTAAGCTAGGTCGAAGTATGATGCGTTCTTGACATACCACTTGACTCTTTTTCAACCTGGCTCTTCTTTGGTATCCTGTAAACTTCCTGAGAGGGAAAAAAAAATCACCTTGTTTATTTGTGATCCAACATGATCAAGTACACAATTATTTTTAAGAAGTGATACACAGATCTAGTTAAGCCTAAAGCATACTCTGGTTTTTATGTGTATGCTTAGCATATGCATAAGGCTGAACAAATAGACTTTCAAGTATACTCCATTTGATAAATTGTGCGAAAACAGGTGGTCGACACATGCATTAGAAGTTTATGTATATGTATGAGGTATTTCTATTCTGAAATTATGATCAGAAAGATTGCAGTTATGTACGCATACCCTAACATACACAAAAACGAAGTATGTTTTTTGGGCTTAGTATAGACTAAGTAGGGTGCATTCCCACTTTTAACAAATCTTAGTCTTGCCTTTAAGTCTTTCCAACTGTCCAGCAGCCGGGCAGCCATGTCACTGATATCAGAAGCCTGAACTTGTGGCTCCTGACTGCGCTCGCTCTCCACATCAGAGACACCTTCCTCCTCATCTTGAGAGGGCGTCCCCACTGCAGCACCCTCTGCTGGAACAGCAACAATAGCCAGGGCCGTCGCATCAGCAGAACCAGCAGCTACGACAGCCTCTGATGATACGTTTTCAGTAGAAACAGCAGCAGATTCAGGTGGAGTGGTTTCCACAGAGGCAGACGGAGATTCTGTGGGTGCGCTCTCTATGGCAACAGCTGTAGATTCAGAGGATACACTCTCCATTATAGTTTCCGATGGTTGTGTGGGTGTGATTTCTGCAGTGCTGCAACTTTCATTCCCTTCGGAGCTGCATTGTTCAGAAGATGCGTTTTCCACCTGTGTCTCAGCCATGGGAGTTTCCACTTCAGCAACTACATCATTACTAATGTCCGCTGCAGATGTGGTGTCCGTGACTGAAGGGGCATCTTCAACTGTTGTTGACTCCATCTGGGACTCTGATGGCTCCTCACTCTTGGTCTCCTCAATGATCTTTTCATCCTCCAGTTGTTCTTCAGGCTTAACGATGGGTTTTTCTTCAGGTTCTTGTGTTTCAAGTGTCTCTCCCTCACTGCCAGTGGCCTCTGGTGTTGAATGTGTGACTTCTTCGGTTTCAGGGGGCTCCTGTTTCAATTCGGGCTCAAGCTCAGCTTGACTCTCAGAAGGCGCTTCACTGTTTTCTACTTTAACCTCCCTTTCAATTGTGGCTTCCAACTGTGAAGTCTCATCCTCCATCTCTTCCTCTTCCTCATCCTCCTCTTCTTTCCCATCCGAAGCTTTACTAGCATCGGACATGGCACTGTCCAGACTGTTTTCACTGATGATCTTCAACCTACGGTAGACTGCTCGCTTGGGAGTGTCCCCATCCAGCTCAGAAGCCAGCTTGGCTGGTGGACCATCAGGGGTGTTGAGGGGCGTTTGGGCACGTGAGGTGCTCTCACTGGAGTAGCCATCCTGTTCTGCTGGTTGGCTGAGTGGCCGGCTTTGAGCCCAGCGCTGGATAAACTGCAGCACTAGGCTTTCCTCCAGCATATTCTTCGTTGAGATGGGAAGCACTGCCAGAGCCTTCATTATCTAAGAATTTAGCCAAAAAAAACAAACCAAAACAAAAAAAAGTTTAGCTTAGGAGACAGCACCCTAAATTGTAGCTCAAAACTACATACAGCCTTACCATAATTAAGCTACATTTACAAAAATATCAGACCACTATGAATTTCTGGGTTTTGCTTGAGGAAAATGGCAGAAATAGCTAGCAGCCCACTAATTTGCTTTGGGATCTGCTCTTAAATTCCCCTAAATGTGTGTGTTTTGAACTCTTACCTCCAGCTGTAGTTTAATGTTGTTTACAGAGTTGCTCTTAGCCTCAGAAAGTTCAACCATAAATATCCACAGCAGCGAGAGGCCATGGTGATCCAAAAACTGCTTCAGGCACAAGGGATTCTGGGTATTCTGCAAAGACATGCAAAAAACTCATCTGACCAGTTGTCAGTCATTTTTAAATGCTTAACGCAAAACTATGCTGTGCAATAAATCAAACACATCTTAACGTGACGGTTTTGCTGTATACCTGAATGAGTTTAAGGCAGGTGAGTCGCTGCTCCATTGTCTCCACTCGCACCATGAGCCTGCAGAGTGAGATCACATCTTTCTCTCCGCACAAGCCTTCTCCATTCTCCTGCAGAGCCTCCAGCTCTTCATCCAACTGCAGAATAATTTCAACCAATTAGACAGCAGCAGCAACACAGGAGAAATCATTCTTTGATCTTGATCAAACTGTGACCATGGCAAAAGCTCACTTCTAATTTCAAGTCACTCAATTTTATGTATCAGGAGGATGTTTCTACATTTTGCTTGCTTTCTTAGTGCAGGTCTGTGCCAGAGATGAAGAGTGCTAGTTCAAACAAGCCATAAAAACCTTAAGATGCAATTAGCTTGAATGCATGCAGAATATATTAGCCGTGTTATTTGTAGACTGAAACAAGCCTTGAAAGTCTCAAAGCAATTAACATGCAAGCAAGAACAAAGCTGACCCAGATCAATGCTTTAGTACTGCTGGTTTAAGATAACACTTTGCAACAACAGTTTGAAAAACTGGCAGGCCATGTGTTATTTGTGTCTAGCGTTAACACACAATTGTTCAAGCGCAAATGTTGACTAAATTTAATCACTGAAACATGATATCAGAGTCATGAACTTGACATGTAAAACACTTCCCGTCACTGCATGGGTTTATTCTGCCTTTCTCTTGTCATTTCCAATAGCTGGATGCAACACAATAATTGAGTCCTCTTGCTCACCGTGGTAAGTGCACTGTCAGTGTCTTTCTTCCGTGAGCGGTCCCTCTGTTTCTTCCCACCTGCTGCTCGGACACTAACCCGAGTCTCTCCACCTATTAAACCTCGACAGCTAGGAGCTCCACAAAAACACTTCTGGGCCTCTTTACTGGTGGACAAAAGAAGCAAGATATGATACATTATGATAAACATGTATGTTGAGTTTCATTTTAAGAAAAACAAAACTATACATGAAAGGAAATGACCGGATCTTTTACCCATATCTTTGGAACTGATAATCAAAAGTGAGTTCTGCCCCAGCCGTCACAGCTTTGGTGGTGAAGAAGCCAACTCGAAGCTGGCCATTTACAGTCCACTGCAAAGGGTGTGATGGATTAGAAATGCTAAACAAAGATTTTTCATGGAAATCAAAGGCTCTAAGTTCCAGAAGCATCTATTCCTACATAGGCAACAAATGCATAGAGATGTGGCTAAATAACCTTTTACTAGATAAGTAGTTGACCTCAGTAATTGACTGTTTGGTTGCTAGACAGAAGAGTTTGCCATTTTGACCCACTCTCCTTGATAGTATCCCACTAACAATCACATTTACATTTTCTATCGACAGCCTGCTTCTCATCCTTTCTGAACAACATACTGGAACTGGAAGAACTGTGCAGATATACTGTACAACAATCCAGATCTCGCTCTTATGATAATGAGGAGGAGTAGGATTTGTGTGGGGGGGGTACAAAAATCTGACACCATGAAAATCGAATGCACTTACTTTCTGAGTTTCACAATTGGGTTCACAGCTGTGATTCATGAAACGGGAACAGTTTCCTTTCAAAGTCGCATCAATAATCTGCAGACAAAATAGAGACATAGGCTCATGTGTCTTAATTCACGAAAGTCAAACACTTCAAATTCTTATTTTTGCACTAATTCCACAGCTCACCTCATTATTTTTCAAAGCCATGAAATAATAGTGAATGTTCTTGTTTCGTGCATACTCCTTCACCCGTGCCTTAAATTCCCGATGATCCAAAACTTCTCCACAGTACTCTAAAACAAAGGTGTTCCTGCAAAAAAAAAAAGGTAACTTAACATAAAAGACAAAGAACATATCTAATAAGCACATGTTAGCTGAAGCAAATAGTACTTACGGCTGTAGGTCTTTGGCTGCTCGTAGGCCCCAGCCTTTGGTCTCAGTCAAAATTACCTCAAAGTCTGCATGCTGCTTCATTTGAAAGCGCCTGTTGGAGCAGTATGCCCCATTTAAACACCGAGAAGAGCTTGAAAGAGCAGAAAAAGAGAAACAAATTAGAAAAATTTTGCCATCAATGTTCTTACCGTAACTAACCTCAATCTGCCAGTAACATAAAATCAGCAAGTAACATAAACATAGGGCTGCACGATTAATCGAATGCGATTGTCATGCGCATCTTGTCAGTAAAGCCGGTTCTGTAATCAGTAGTAAATCTCCATCCGAAGGCCAGAGGGCGCTCTCGTGTGGACTGACTTTATGGAGTGAGTTTGGAGTAAAAAATGTTTAAATGTGGTATTTTCATGTGCTTTCAGATGGAGCAGCATTTACTACATATAGCCGTAGTTCACTGACAAGCTATGCAAAAAAACTAACAAAAAAAAAAAGCTCCATCTAAAAGCACGTGAAAATACCACATTTAATAACATGTTTTTACGCCAAACTCACTTCATAACATCAGTCCACGCGAGAGTGCCCTCTGGCCTTCGGATGGAAATTTACTACTCATCACAGAACCGTGCTTCACTGACAAGATGCACATGCACAGCTTTTGCCTAATCGCAATTGTGATTTCATTGCAATTTATCGTGCAGCCCTACATAAACATGATATATTAATTACAGTCTCTCACTACAGATACTCTCTACTATAAAGCAAACATTATGATGTAGCAGCAAGACATTTACCACTCAATCATCAGCAAGCGATTGAGGCAATCCTCCCCACAAGCCATCATTCCTTGGGCACGCTCTTCCCTTGAGAGGATAGCACACTCACACTGCATATGCTTGATGTCACGATGGGACTTATTCTTCTTGCTGTAAGGACAGAGAACAGATTTCATGAGCTTTATGAAAGATCAAATTAAATGAACAAACAAACATTTAATTCAAACAGTGGAGCATGGCGCTGCCAACACCAGGAACATGAATTTAATTGCCAGGGATAAAAAGGGAAAAATATATACTTACCGTTCAGTCAGATATACATTATCTTCAATGAGGTCGAAGTAGGGTGGCATTTTTTTCTGCTTTGCCTTTTCCCTCCAAACAGCTGGATCCACAAAGTTTTTCAGTCTGAGCAGTGGGCGCACCACCTCTTGAATTTGGTGAAAAGATTCCTTACCATCTTTCACAACCCTTGAGCTCTCATCCAAACACTCCCTTTTACTGCTCAGACCAGCCTCTGCCTCATTATCCGATTCAGATTCAAACTCTTGACGTCTCTTCTTAGGTGGACCCCTTCCTCGATGAGGCTTTTGGTTGTCTTCTCTAGGGGCTTCCGAGATGTTCTGACTTTCTGTGGTAAAGCTGCAATTGCTGCTTATCTCATGGGCTTGAACAAATGGGGATGATCCTGGAAGATCAGCAGACAGGACAGATCCTTGTTTGATCCCTACTACCCTGTCTTCATCGTGATCATTGGTCAAAGAGTCTGGATGGATCTGGTTAACTGAATCATGATACTGAAAAGGCACATGCGCGTTTACTGGTCTGTTGGTTTTAGAGATGGGAGGCTGAGTCCATGGACCTTGTCTGTGACCGCTATCAAACAGAGCAATTCCTGGTTGAGGCGGGTGTTCAGTGCCATGACTGCTGTCCGGTTGCTGAAATGTGCTGCTGGGCTGTTCTGACTGGTTAAAGTCCCAGGCTAAACCATAACCCTTCCCAGTGTGGAAGTCAGTGGATTCCCCATAGTGCTGCTTTCCTCCTTTCCTACCATTCCAGCTATCTGGTCTATCATGGTTTTGATGGTGATCCGATTCAGGTCGCAAAGTCTTTTCAAAACTCTGAAGTGATGCTTGGTTTATCTGGACACTATTTGGTCTTACTTGGGCACTCCAGTTCTTGTACACATGTGCAATGGTAGCCTCCGAATGGCTGGTGCTGTCAACCATGTTGCTCTGCGATTGGTAGGAGACACGTTTAATATCTGGATTTAGCATTGCAGCTTGTGCACTGGCCTTAAAAAGTGCAGCTGATGATTCCTCAAGCTTTGACTGATTGCTAAAGCCATAAGCAAATTCTCTATTAATGCTTTCATGTGTATCAGTCTGTTGCTGTCCAGAAAACACTAAGCACCCGGGAGACGGTTCAGTCAAGTCATTTGTCTCAAGAGCAATGGTTGAATTTTTTGGCACAACCACCACCGAGTGCAACCGCTTTAAAGAAACACGCCCATCATCTGAATCCGAGTCTGATTCTTCACTCTCACTGTCATCACTGTGGCATTTACCATCGTGGTTTAAGGAATCGGGGTCTTGAGTTTCAGGCTTAGGTTTGTCTACATTGATTTTCTCTTTACTGCCAGAACTGCAATTAAGGGGAAGATCACTAACAACAGGGGCACTTGTTGATTGAGGATCTTCAACGATCTGTTTTATAAGTTCACCATGAGTATGTTGGGTTTCAAGGTCAGACGCATAAGAACTTACTTTCTGATGAGATTCAGCTGAGGTTGTGTCTTGTATTTGTTCTTCTACAGATTTTTTAGATGGTACTTCAGAGTCCTGTTTCTGTGTACAAGATTCTTCAGGGGTAGTATCATTGTTCAACTCTATTCTTTTTACCGAAATGACCTTTTCCACATCTGGATTCACTATTTGATATTCTGAAGTGACTTGACCAACAATGTCCCATCTGGATTTTTTAGCACTACCATCCATTTTCAAAATCCCACTACTGGGTTGTTCAGGATTCACATAATGCTGCTCAGAATCCTTTTCACAGAGTTGAGCACTCGGTGTGATGTGCGATGGCCCATCTAATTTAGTGTTAAATTTCAAGCATCCTCCAGGTGGTAATTCTTTCACAGAAAGAGGGTCTGCCAGTGATCCTACTGAATCCTGATTGGGAGTGTGGCCTACACAAAATGAGTCAGTCGGTCCTTCTGCCAGAGCTCTACTTTGGATTGGAATCTCATTTTTCATTCCAGGTTCATCAGTGGAACTTCTAACTTCAAGACTTCTACTTGTCGTGGAAGTGGATTCCTTCAATCTTTCAGTTGTCTTGTGACTCTCAGGAACATTTGTGCACTTTCCCAAACTACTATGTTCTTGGTTTGGAGCTTGTTGCTCAGTTTGTTGTTTTGTTTTGAACAAATTAACTTTGTGCGTAGCTTCATGCATCTGTTGAGAAATGCATTTAGATTTAGGCAGAGTAGAGTTGTCATCAATTTTGCTGCATTCCTTCTGAGGAGTAACTGGGCTGAGGGCTAACTGTGACTGCTTTGTGTTATTACTTGATCTGTCTTTTGATTGTCTCTCTGTTTCAGAAACATTATTTAAAGTCTTGTGATCCATTGAGTCTGTTTTTTTGGAAGATGAAGTCCCAGACACAGATGACCTGTCTGATCCTTGTGACTGACGTTTTTTTCTGTGCTCCTCATCAGAGTCAGAACTGTTTTTATGAACCTTTTTCTCAGATGTTCGGGATGAGGTAGCTGGGTTAGAATTTGAGGTTTTAGCATTAATCTCAGATTTTGAGTGGGCACTGGATTTCCTGTGAACCATTTCTGCATCAGGAGAGCTCCTTCTATTGGATTCAGAGTCACCAGCTTTTAAATGAGATCGCTCTGACTTTGAATGCTGGGTTCTTTTGTCTGACTCGGATGATCGAGAACAATCTGTGGGTTTTGAGTCCCTGTGGGATCTGGAGTGAGTGGATAATTTTGAGTCTTTTTGCGAGCTAGAGTAAGTGGAGGATCGACTTGAGTCACTACCTCGAGTCCTTGTCCGCCGGTGGTCATCCTCTGAGTCAGAGCTGTCACGAGACCTGCCATCGGTTCGTGAACGTGAGCCTCTCCTTTCACGATGAGGAGAACTTCTATGAAACCTCCACTCAGAATCATGGTAATGTGACCTATCTGACCTTGACTGTCTCTCACTCCTGGATCTTTCAGACCTGGAATAGGAACTAGTTCGACAGCCTCGAGATCTAGACCGTGACCGACTTTTGGTCCTTCTTCTGTCTCTGTCAGAACGAGAAGATCTTGACGATGTGTGCCTAGAGTCGCGCTCAGATTTTGAACGACTTGACCCCTTTTCATCTTCTTTCCTATCATGCCTGGATTTTTCTGACTCCTCAGTTTTGGAATTAGAGGATCTTTTTGCTTCGTTACTCGGACATTCAGATTTTATCTTATTTCTGCGGTCACTAGACTTCTGGCTAGATGATGTTTTGATTGAATCCCCATCAGATTCTGAACCTGGAAGCGTGCAATCTGATCGAGGTTGTGACTTTCTGTTTTCCTCATGCTCAGAAATAATGGAAGTATCCTTATCTCCCTTCCCAATATGGGAAGAAACAGGACCTTTAAGGCATGAGTCTACTTTCTCCTGAGGGTTTTCCTCTTTGAGAACTTTTTCAGAGGAACTATCAATGACAGAGTTCTTGTGAGACTGTTGCAATGAGGTTTCAGTTTCAACCTTGGCTGAAGATCTAATTTTGTCTGACTCAGATGGGACTACTGGCTCTGAAATCTCTGCTGAGGCAGTGCTGACAATGGAGTTATCCTCAACAACAGTAACGCTGAGAATCTGTTTCTTAAAATGCATCTTTCCAAGAACAGGTTTTGATTTGAGAGGGAAGGATAATGGGGTGGGTGTTGTCTGGGTCTCCCCAACTGCTGGAGTATTTGTATCCACATTCTTGGTTTCATCACTCTGTCCTGCTAGATCTGGAGTAGGTACAGGTCCAGCTTGCAGTGCAGAAGAATGTTCACTTGCCGATTTCTCCGGACTTGGTGGGGCTAGAAATACATTTTGACGTGGTTTCTTTGTCTGTGCGAAGCTGAAGGAGACCTTTTGTCGACCCTGTTCCTCAAGGTTTACCTTCGCCTTGGTTCCTTTAGGCAGGAGATGGTTTGTCAATATGACCCTAGGTGCAAGGCCTTTGAATATGACTTGCTTCGGGAAGTTTTCAACCTTGATCTAGTGATATAAAAAAATTAAATAAAATGAGTATTTTATGCACATGTACATAACATGTTTCTTGTTGTTTATGTACATTTAACAAACAAAAATTGCAAAATATCTGAATTATACACCTACCGAACAATCTTTCACATCTTCCCTGTTGTCATAAAAGAACAGCAGGAAAGAAAAAAAGGAGAACATTAGTCCAGTCAATTTAAAATCTCATTACAAGGAAAATTAAAAACCTGCTGTGAAAATAACACCACTCTTTTATCCAAAAGCCAAGGACTAATTGTTAAAAAAAGTATATGAAACACAATGTAGCCCTATATAGTTCATTCACATCACTTCCTATTTTTGAAGTCACTTCATGTAATAAACAACTGACACAATTTCGACAACAAATAAGCTGACTGTTTTCTAGTTCTCATAAAACCTATATGAAGCTACACAGCAACAACTAGGTTACATGTTCCTCTGAGACTCCTTTTATCCATCTGACCTTCATAATGGAGTCACCCTACAATGATAGTAGTAGTAATGGGAGGGGATTCTCATGCCATTCATATCTGTCAGATAGGCAATATTTTAATCTACCATGACCCTATTTATCTATCTAAGTATATAATAGAATTTTGATGTGACCCACTTTAGCCATTCTAATGCAACAGTGATATCTCTAAAATGATATCCCTAATGACACTCACTAGTAGCATAAAATAAACTCAAATATCAAGCATGCAAAATAACATTTAATGCAAAGGCTCAAATACTGAACACTGCATAAAAAACACATTTGTCCAAGTTCAAGCAAGTCCAGCACATTAACATGAATAACTAAAGAACTGTTTATTCTGACCACAAATTCTTGGTTGAAAACTTGGTCTGAATACAAATTTTCCTCGAATAACAAATTATATTGTGACAAAATGTTGTGGTATCTCAGTTTTATTTTAAAATAACTTTAAACTGCAGAGTGCAAGGTGAAACGCAAAAAGGTTTTAAAATCTTTTAAGCCTACATATAATATATGCAAGCACTTGGTTATCTAAAATCCCTCAATAGTGCAAAACCAAATTTAGCCCGGGACTGGAGAAGCAGGATTAGCATGGCAGGGAAGCATGGTTTAACATTCTTGCATAACGTCCGTTGACATAAAGAGCTAAAGATGTATTGGCCCATAACAAATTGGACATTAAATTCTGCAATTCAAGTTATGAAGAACACTACTGCATAGACTCTGTTACAACAACAGCCAAAAGTGAAAGTCGTTTAAATTAACATTCTGCTGGCAGTTTAAGCAAATGCTATTGCACCATATTCCACTCAATAGCCACACTTGAGAGAGTACCTGAGCTCTTGATTCAACAGAGCATCCATTTTGAGTCAGAGCTGATGCTGAGCAGCTTGAAGAAAGCTACAACACTTCGGGCAAACCAACTCAGAGTAGTATGCTCTCTGATACGGTGTCGCACCTATGGAGAAGAGACAGCATAACTGCATTCAGGCAATGTCGATTCCATGACACAAATATATTTGTCCACTGTATTTGTAATTATTTGTCTATAGATGAAGACTTCAGGTTTCTCATTGCTAAAAGTTAACAATTTTGTAGAATCTCACAGATACACCACTGGAAGTGTTACATTTATTTTTATAAGAACGTTACTGTGTTTTTGCTGTCTAGGCCAGTGGCTCTCAACTTGTGGGTCACAAAAACAGGTAACAAGTTTGTTTTGATCTGGGGTGCGTTTCCCAAAAACAACTATGGTCGCAAGTTCCATCATTGCCAATAGAGTTCAATGGAACTAATGACCATAGTAGCTAACAAGGCTTTTGGGAAAAGCAGCACAGGTCGAGGACAATATTAAAGTTGAAGTGAAACAGAGGTAGTGAAGATTTTCCCCCCTATATTGCAACATCTAAGTGTAACAGATCATTGAAAAAGAAAAAGAAAATGAAGCAGGGAACCTGGTTCCATAAATTGATTGTTGATTGGATTTTGCACTGTAAAATGGAGGCAGATGAATTCAAGCTTGCAGGGGTGGGTTTAAGTGCAACTGATTAGAGAAGTCCTGCATATGCTACCAGAGAGAAGTCTGTCATTTTCACCAGAAGATCCAGTTACAACATTTTGATTAAAATTGTGAAGTCTAAAAAAAATTATGGATGAATTGTTTATAATAAGGTCTGTAATATGCATTTAGAAAATAAAGAATTTTCATGCTGACTTTTAGATGCAACTAATTATATAATTTTGCATGATGGAGGCTATAAAAGAAATAAGCTTATAAACATTTTAAAAGGGAAACTTTTCATTTTCCTGGTGATGTCAAAGCAAACTTTACAGTATTCTGCTGTACATTCATCTGTCGGGTGAATATTAAAGGGTTAGTTCACCCAAAAATGAAAATTAGGCTGCGTTTTACTCACCCCCCGAGGCATCCTAGGTGTATATGACTTTCTTCTTTCAGACGAATCCAGTCGGAGTTATATTAAAAATGGTCTTTGATCTTTCAAGCTCTTTCATTGCAGTCAGCGGGTGTTGTATTGCTTCAGTCCAAAATAAGTTAAATAAAAAGTGCCCATGCATAAAAAACAGTGTCTCAAGAGAGATCAAAACAAAACAATGGCCAAGAATTAGAAGTACAAAACGAGGATTTGTAAAGAAGAATGTCAGAGGATTTCGATATAAGCCAAGAGGAGACTGGTTTTCCTTTGCTAAAGTAAGGAAACTTTGCTTCCTTTGCTCCTGTAAACAAACGCTGGTTTTCACCAGACTCACCGGCGCATACGCAGCGCTGACCTCAGAGGTCATCCGCCCGGAACTGCTTCTGTGTACAACTGCTGGCGCAAGCTACATTAAAGTGATTATTACATTTTGAATATGGATATTTTTCTTACAAAAAAGCATCGATTCACTAAAGGAGGCCTTTGTTCACCCCCCGGAGCCGTGTGAGACACTTTTTTTTTTTTTCTCGCATGGGCACTTTTTATTTAACTTCTTTTGGACTGAAGCAATGCAACACCCGCTGAGTGCAATGATCAAGCTTGAAAGATCAAAGATTTTTTTATATAACTCCGACTGGATTCGTCTGAAAGAAGAAAGTCATATACACCTAGGATGCCTCGGGGGTGAGTAAAACACAGCCTAAATTTCATTTTTGGGTGAACTAACCCTTAAATGACTAATAGTAATACAATATTTGGCCTAGTATTTGCCCCGTGTTTCAGGCTGGTCAATTGTATATTATATGCATTTACAAAATTATATTCAGCTCATATTCAGTTATATTAATCATTTAGCATTTAACTGGGCTTATGCAGTTGAAGGCAATATTAATTCATTCCAATGTTTGTTTTTTTGGAACATAGTTTTTTATTATTCAAAATCTCTTGATAATAGTACTACTAATAACAACAACAATAAGCCATACATTTGCTGTGCTTTTCAAAACGACAATTTTGTTGAAATGGTTATCTGTAACATTACGCTTACAGCAACATACAGAAGTAAAGTGGAGGGAAGAGCACTTATCTGCCTCAGCAGGACAAACTGTCTTTTGTCTGGAATGCGAAAGGTAAACTGCGTGCCCTGGACGCACAAAATCAATAAGCACGCTTGGTGTTCTGACATAAATGGGTAACATTGGATTACCTAGTCTATTATGTTCAATAGTAAAAACGTATTCATTGATCTTATAATAAAACGATGTTTAAGATCGATATGGTTTGGCAAAGTGGACGAACAAAATGCTTGAGCACTGCAGATGAGCTATCACGCGCATGTGGGTGACATTTTTGCACAACATAGCAATATTTTGTCTACAGATGTCTCGGTTGTTATTGACGTGGATGACAATAACAACACAACGTCAAAAACTCAGGTTCTCTAACAGTATAGCCTTCGGTTAGTCACCAGTAGCTCCAACACGGACTGCTTGGTACATAATGGCAACGCGTAGATCCTCTGACCCTGAACCGCGGGCAGCTAAAAAATGTACCTCCTGGATTTGAGGCCTGCATGGAGGCCTCGCTGCATCTGTTTTCCCTTGTGTTTCCAGAACATATAACACGATATACATTGACATAACATTATTGCCTAATACCATTTTAGACACATTGTGATTTTCTAACAGCAAAGAATATCACATTTTATTTAAATTAACCTTATTTCCATTTATTGATGGCTCCCTGCTTGTAGTAGTACCCTCAGCTCGTTGGCTAACTGCAAAGTGAACTGTCGTTCTGGTCACCTTTTGAGACGTATACAATTGTTTATTTTTTCATATCCTAACCTATTTGTTGAGCTCAACTGATTATCTACAATATCTTTTTCTCTAAAATATAATTTTAGGGTTTGACTTGTGATGCATGCTCTGAAACCGTGAAAACGGGTCACTGTGACCAGTGGGTTAGCAGGTTAGCAGCAAAAGGACTAACTAGGTAGCTCAATGGCTAACTGGTTCAAATGTGTAGTGCATGTAGGTTCTCATTAGGTATGTTCTGTGTGCCACAACAAACGCATAGCAACTGTAAAGTACTCACTTCTTATACTTCTCCAGTTCGGTTAAGCACTCCATCTTGTAGGACAATGATGGCAACCTCTTTCACTTGATTTTTCCTCAACGTCCAGCAGAACACAGACGTCAAATCCACACGGGGCAACAAACCGCTCTCGAAAACACAATTCGCCTGGTGCTAGATAGCATACAGCTAACGTTACATCCAAATGCTTGCATTTAATGCTCGGTCCAAGGCGATCAAATAAATAGTCATTAGACGAATCCTCTGTACTGTTTTATCAGTACGAAGCAGGCTGTGTTTCATGGTGTAGTAGGGCAGCCTCAGATGATCTGGTGGAGTCGATATGCGATGCACCGGTTGCGGCTCCTCCTCTCTCTGCAAGCCACAGCTCATGCCGTGAAGAAGGAGGTCGACATGCGCTGCTGTCCAGAGGGACTGATGACGATCCGACCGTTTGGGGGTCTTTGTTACGCTACGAAATCTTCCATAGCAAGAAAACGCGGAATAGAAATGTTTAATGCCAACGGTAACGCTCGACGGAGGCAGCTAAAGGCTATTTTTTAATGCGTTTGGTCAGACAATGTGGAAACCGGATGGGCCTTCAATGGTGTGGGATCCCCACCAAAGAAATCAATTCAGCATCCGCAACTATTATCTGGGGTTAAACCTCAGTGTGGGTTAAACTGGAAATGTGAAAGGCGGAAGAATTCGGAAAATGGGCAGTTTGTGTATGGCAAGCCGTTTTAACTTTTATTCCTATAAAACTAACTTGTATCTATTTTAATGCTATTAGTCTTAGTAGTAGGCTAAGTAATCCAGTAGTGACTGGTAGGCCTATCTGTTAATTTCACTAGAAACTATTCATTGAGGTATTATTGCTTTTGTTACTAGTCACTTTCCCAATAGTGACAGATGACTATTCAGTTTTGGTCATAAATAACAAACTGCTCATTTTTGCCATTGAATTAAATGTTGCTGATACTTGTTCCACTTTATAGCAACTATTCTTTTTTTATGTACTACTAGTAGGCCTACTTATCTCTTTGTAACTATTCCAGTAGTTTTGAAGATCTGTTTCATACTGACAAGTAACAAAGGAATATTAGTTTCTAATGAATACAGTGAAAAATTTAACAGGTACTAGTTGCTGTTGTATAACTTATTACTAGTAATTTAAAAATAAGCGCTAGTAACAAAATACAGCAATAAATGAAAAAAATACATAAAATACTAGTTAATTTGAAGAAATAATGTTAAACAGCTTGTGGTTTATGTGGAGACTGAAGTGCATATCATGACCTGTTATAAACGTTGTATGACTTTTCTCTGAATAATAATAATAATTATTATTAACAGACATATCTCAATCTGTTGTATTCAGAGGTATCTTAATAAAAGCTAGATTTAATTTATATACTGATGTGTGTGTAGTTTTATGAAAAGCCCTTTGAATTAATTCAGTATTAACCATTAAACCTGCATTGTTTTTCATTGTTCATATAAAGTGTTTTAAAAGACATTTCATGTCAATAAATTGTTAAATGCTTTGCACAGTGATGCCACAGATACCACTGAAATATAGGTAATTTTTAACTAAATGTTTAATGCATGATAGTAGTTGTGTTTGATGTTTTCCGTGGTAGACAATGCAGTCAGTTTGTTTAGTTACTAATCATATACTTGATGGCAGGTATTCTAACTAATAACTAACAGACATCTCAAGCCACAGGTACGGTCATTGGCTTTTCTAATATAAACATGTCTTAAACAATTGAATGATCTACACTCTGTCTCTTCTGTAGTCTATTCATTTCACAACATGGTTAACTTGCAACAGTGTGTGTTGAGAGTGAGCCTATAGAAAAAAAACAAACAAACCAATAATTTACTTTATTGGCAATTTCAGCTGAATTATAATAGCATTTTTACTTTATAATCACGTTTGTTGTGTAGTGTTTATGCACAAGTACTTGAACCTTGTTGATCAGGGTATGATGTGTCAGTTATTGCTCATCTTTATCTCACTGTTCAGTCGACAGGTCCTCTCAGCTTCATGAAGAAATTTGTGATGAGTTTCCAGTAGGAAACATCCTGACAGTTCCAGGTGGTGCCCCGTAGTGGACCGAGCCCTCTACAAAACTATTAACACCCGCTGAGCACAGCTGCACCTCTTCCTTTCCTCAAAAGACCCACATTGGATGAACTATTTGTAAATCTTTATATTTTCTCGCTTCTACAGGTCTGATGTTGTGTTGCTATCTTCAAATGGCCTTTTCTGTCTAAACATAGTTTGTTTCGAGTTCACAGCGAGAACACTTCCAAATTCACCACAGGTCCCACCTAATGACAGACCTGTATGTTTGGATACAATTAGGGCATTTACTGTATTTTCTTTCTACTTATGTATTTTATTCATGCTTCCCTTTTCACTGTTTTCTGAACTTTTATTTGTGAATATAGTACCTCAGTGCTCTGCACAGTATAATTATTAGGCAGGGTTGGCAGCTAGCCATAGTAACCAGGACAACTCCTTTATCATGTCTAAAGCCCCACAGAGGTTAAAAGGAGAGCATCATTGTGTTCACTGAATCAGTAACCCTTTGTTGTATCTCAGTTTACAGGGATCTGCTCAGAGGACCGTTCTGAAATCAGGTTGTTCGTAAATAGCCAGATAACAAGTGTGATTTGGTTGTTATTGCCCTAACCGTGAAACGAGTATCTAAGCAGGGCTGTAACCATCATAGACATTGAGGGGGGCAAATCCCCTACAATAATTTGATATAGTCAAACTATAAGAATGTTTTTCTACAAAAAAATACAGGCCTATGGTTACTGTATTGTAAATGATGTCACAGTTAGCCTTATATTAAGTTTTAAATGAACACTAGCAACATACCATTTGGGTCTTGGCCATCTTACTCCAATTTGACCTTTTCGCTGTGTGTGTATATATATATATATATGTGTGTGTGTGTGTATATATATATATATATATATATATATATATACACACACCACAAATCTCACGAGTGTTGAAATACAGATTAAAACCAGCATAATCATTCTTTAAATGTTTTGAGATTAGATTTTGTGCCATCATGGTTAAGAGAAGAAATTATAGCTGTATATTATTATTTGCAAATTGTTTGAATTGTTTACTTTACAATAATTTGTAGTTTTTACTATTCTTCTTTATTTTTCCCACAAATCCTTTCAAATAAGTAAAATAAGTTACTAGTTAATAGTAAAGTAAATAAATAAATACTAGTTAACAGGTAGTAATACTAAGCAGGACCTGCATGGAACATACATGACACTGAAAAGAGAATTTCCATTGACATCAAAGCAGATTTTTAAAAATATGTATTTTAAATATTGTAATAATATAGAAAAATAAAGAATTAATAATATAGTAAAAAAAATCCTAGCTTGTGTAAATGTCCAGAGATTTGAAAGAAAGAATCTCAAAAAGGCTCAAATTCTTGGGGTGGGGAAAAAAAGAAATATTGGCCCAATGTTTGGCATAATGTTTCATTATTTCTTTTTTTTTTTAAATTTTTTATTAAAGTGAAGCACATTTGTTTCAAAATTATATTTACTACATTGGAAATCTTTTTTAAAAGATGGTGTAGCTAGTGTAACCATGATGAATGAAGCCATTTTGTTATGCAACAAGAAAACCAAATTAGAGATATGTCTCGAGGTCTTTGACCAGTACTGTTTAGGTCACATTAAGCGTTTTTACTTGGTTACGCCACGTGACACATTTAGATCTATTAAATCAAGATATTTGAAGTGTGTAGTGTATTTTGTAAACATTTTTAATTGTATACTTTATTCATAGGAAACGGCACGAGACTGGTCAGACGTACAGGCGTCCATTGTGTGTTTCGAGTGTTCTGTTCAGCGCCTCCGGGTTTCCGTAGTTCTGCAGATGGCGGTGGAGGAGATGCGGATGCTCTAGTTTTTCTTGCGAATCGTCCTTGCTTCAGATATCACAACAGCGAAATTGTTGCTTAGTCACTGTGGGAATCGGACAGACGACACCGCAGAGCGCAATTGAATTTCTCATTCTTTTATATTTGGAAAGGATTTATAGCTCCCTTTGTTTTGTGTAAGTTTGATCAATACTGCGCGTCACATTCTGGGCCTCAGGTTTAGCATGACTGGTAACGTTACTACCGAAGACAGCTGCACTCTGTTTTCAGATATTGCGGAGTTGACGGTGGTTTTTAAGTCGAGTACCGTATGTTCATAGTGTATCAGCGACAGCGTATGGTGTGCTGGTTAAAACTGCTGGTTTGTTGGTTTGGCAAAAATTGAGGATGATCGTGAATGCTAACTTAGCTTTGGCGCAGTTTTGCTTCAGAAAGCAGATAGCTCGCGGTTCACCGCAACTAGCAAGTACGCGAGGTTCTGCAGAGGTGTATATGTCGAAAACAAGTTTGTAATAGTCGACAGTGTTGTGATTAAACCGCTTGAAATAAGTGATACGTGCAGAACGGATTATGGTTTGGCTCCATGGCAAAGCGGGAGACGCAGGTTCTGTGTGCTGGAAAGGAGAGCTCAGTCGTGCATTGGTTACATAAAAAATGCAGCAAAATGGGATATTTCTTTGTAAAGTCGATGGAAGACGCCTTTCTTTTACTTCCTAAGTGTTTTGCAACTGAAAATACGCCTTATTTAATGTTCCTAGTGGATGGTCATTGGGGCCCACTCGGACACCCCCAATGTATAAATTAAATTTATGTATTTAGCAGACGCTTTGGACTTACAGTGCATTCAGGCTATACATTTTTTTTACTAGTATGTGTGTTCTCTGGGAATTGAACTCAACCTTTGCGCTGCTAACACAATGCTCTGCCACTGAGCCACAGGAATCTGGATAAGACTTTGATTTTTTTTTTAATGTAAAAATGTCTACAAGAGAAGTTTATAGAAAATAATTCTCATTTATTTAATCCTAGACCGTTCGGATGTACATTTGGTGTGAGTTTTGTGTGTATTAATTTGCAGTAAAATGGAAGGTTTGCTCGAGGGTAAACTGTATTTCTGAGTCTCATTGTTTGCATTTAAAGCAGTGGTTCCCACCCTTTTTACTCCAAGGCCTCACATTGTCCAAGAGAATATATTTATTTTAGTACTTATACTGTATGACTTAACCATGATTAAATACGATTCATTAAAATGTTAAGTAGGATTAATTTTATTTTAGAAGTTTAGATGTCCCAGCTCGTGTTCCTTTTCCAGTCTTGTTCCCTGCTCACCTTCCTCATTCTTTCCTGTCTCTATCCTTCACTGTGCTGTCTAAGGCCATATCCACACGTACACGGGTATTTTTATAAACTGAGTTTTTCCTCCGTCTACATGAAAACGCAAACGCATGCTATGAAGCACTGTCAAGAGCATGCCTAACCAACAGGTGGTGATATAATCTCAACCGTAAAGCCATGTTGGCCAATCAGAAGCCTGAAAAAGTTTCCAGTAGGCAGAAATAACAGCGCAGGCTCTGATGTCACAAGCCAAAAACTCCGGTTTCGTTGTCTACACGATAACTCAGCAACCGGAATTTTTTAAAATCTTCACCCTGGCAGACGTTTTCAAAAATGTTCGGTTTCAGTGAACTGCTGCTGCCTTTGCGTGTGGACGAACGGCCAAACCGCGTAGAAAAAGCTGCGGTTTTAAAAAGAACCGCGTTCGTGTGGACAGGGCCTAAAAAAGGCAAAAACATATAACATTTTAATAATTATAGATTGTTTTGCAAAACTGAGTATGCTGAGGCCCCCTTCTTGAGAACCACTGATTTAAAAGCATTTATAGTTCAGATGTTGCACTGACGTGAGGTGGAATTGTGTGTTCGGTGTATTGAACTGTTGTTTTATTATTTGGTTTGATAGCTGTGCAGTTTGTAAGTGGCTGTTGAGCTTCATGTTAAGAGCCTTGTTATTTTAAATACTTAATGAGTTGATGTACTCTATTGTCGGCTGTTGATAAGTTTCTATTGGAAACCGCATGTTCTAAAATTATAACGAACAGAGTTGAATCATATTTGCAATATGTGACTTTTAGCTGTACGGATGCTAGTAGCGATATCTGTAAATTCTTGAAACTGATACAGAGTTTCTCTCTGATAGTGTGGTCAGATGATAAGTTTTAATTGTGAATGGAGTTCATATCATATTACTTGCACATTTGCATGTGGAAACTGAAAGAATGATGTTGAAGGTTGTAAAACTAGCCTTTCCTGTTAATCAGAATCTTGTGAAACAAAGTTGTTTTTCTGGATCCGAAGACGTTATTATTTGCTGCAGACTGGCTGTTATTGTTGTTGGCTCTTTTTCTGGGGGCTGTGAGAAGTCCGTTTCACTTAACTTTGCAGTTTAACCTTGGTTTGAAAATGAAAGTTGGGATCTCTTTTGAATATTGTTATACGGAGGCAATAGTTGAGTCAGCGATAACGCTATTATATGTGCCCCTTTTTGTCTGCAGGTCCTGTTGTGTGTGCTCCATCATGGCTGTGGTCATCCGATTACAGGGACTCAGAATCACGGCTGGTTCTGAGGACATTCGCAATTTCTTCACTGGGCTCAGAATCCCTGATGGTGGGGTTCATATAGTTGGTGGGGAGCTTGAGGAAGCTTTCATAATATTTGCATCTGATGAAGATGCGAGACGTGCGATGACGCGCTCGGGGGGCTGCATGAAGGGCTCTCCTGTCAACTTGCTCCTGAGTAGCAAGTCAGAAATGCAGAGTGTTCTCGAGGAAAGCACTAGAAGGTCTGAGTTAAAAAGCAGGGGCATGTACAAGGAGGTTGTCAAAAGTCCTTCTGCGGAACGAGGTCCTCTACCATTCAATAAGGACCCGAGAGCAGACATACAAAGGCCGGATCATCAAGAGATAAGGAACAGGCCTTCTCTATCGTCATTCAGTGAGACACGACACCAGAGAGAAGGAAGCATGTCAGAGAGGGATGAGGTTTATCTGAAATTGACAGGTATGCCATTCTCTGCGACAAAGGACAACGTCTATAACTTTTTCAATGGGTTACAGATTGAAGACCTTATGTTTTTGAGAAACCCCAGAGGACAGTTCAACGGCCAGAGTATTGTGCGCTTTGCTACCAAACAGGATGCAGTCGAAGGTCTGAAGAGGGATCGAGAATACATTGGACCACGGTATATCCAAGTAACAAGATGCTCCGAGGAGCAGTGGCTGGCAGAAGGAGGTCTCGTTAAACCGGACAGTCGGAAAAGAGCGTCCTTGGAGCGAGCGAGATCTCGATCTCCCATTTCCTACAAGTCAAGATCACGATCGCCCTCTCATGAAGAATATTGCGTCATGTTTGAGAACTTGCCTAACATGGTTGAAAAGAGAGATTTGAGGGTGTTACTTCATCCGGTTTCTTTGAAAGATGATCAGATTATTATCTTTGCCCAAAAAAAGGATGATAAGACCAGAACGGCTGTTGTGGTGTTTAGAAGTCTCACCGACTATTGTGCTGGTTTGGCTCATAATAAGGAAATGTTGATGAACAAGGTAGTGTATGTGTCACCCATCTCCAAGGAGAAAATGGTCACCTTGTTGGAATCGTCTGTTGACTCGAGAGACGAGGGAAAAGGGTCGAGACGTTCAGCAGAAGCGCCTCAGTCTCAACGAAACAATCCTGACTCGCAGTTGAGGTGTCTCTATGTGCGCAATCTCCCATTTGATGTTCGTAAGGTGGAGATCATGGACTTCTTTCATGGATATCCGCTCTCAGAGGATAGGGTTGTCTTGTTGCGGGACGAAAGAGGAGCTGGGCTCGGTGAGGCTTTGGTGATCTTCCAATCTGAGAAGGAAGCCATGACGGCACAGTCCCTAAACGGACAGAGGTTTCTTGGATCCGAAGTCATGCTTAAGTGCATAACGATTGGCCAGATGCAGAAGTTTGGCGTCAATGACCAGTTGATGGATAGCCCACAAGAAAGGAACTTCCAGAGAACAGAAGTTTTCAATGATGGTCCTCATTTTTCTAACACCCCGATGCCCCGAGATGATTGTGAGATGCAGCCTAATTTGCACCAGGGTTATGGAGGTCATGATCGCTTTGAGCCTAATTTTGGCCACAATGATGCATTTGGGCCGGGACCGGATGGTAATGGACGTCAGTGTTACGGATCACCTGACCAACAATTTGACAGTCCGACTTGTCTTAAATTGGTCAATCTTCCCTCTCAGATAAGGATCGATGAGATTTATGACTTCTTCTATGGATACAAAGTGATTCCAGGTTCTGCCTCATTGCTGCATGATAGAAATGGAGCTCCCAAACGTTCAGCAACGGTAGCTTTCGAAACCCACAGAGAGGCGCTCACTGCTCTTCAAGAATTAAATGGTCGACCAATTGGCACCAGGAAAATTCAGATTTTGTTTGTGTAGATATGCTTTTAGACTACAATCTTGATGTTTTTCTTACTTTTATTTCCGTTTTTAAAGTTGTATGTGCTTTTTCAATGATTAACAAATGAAGACTTTTTTTTGCTTGCTTTTCATAAATCTGCAGATGAAACACCGCTTTAATTTAGATTCATACTTTATATCTTGACTGTTTGAAAATAGTGCGTTTGTACGCATGTCAGTGACAGTATCTAGACTCAGTATTATTTGTGCTGTTGAATGTTTTCCCCCAGAGTAATGACTACAATTTTATATTTCACTAAATATGTCACCAGTATATTTTGTTTTCAGATAAAATCAGATCTAAAAGAATCTTCTTAACATTGTGAAATTGTAAATTTCATTCTACAACCAGATAAACTGTCAGTTCATGTTTAATGCTATTAAAGGCATCGGCTTGTTCTTCTGATTTCTTTCTGACAGGGTTTTTTTTTTTTAATGAATTTTTTTTTTTTTTTTTTGCAGTGGTTTGCAAACTGGTTTCTTGCCCAGTTGATACGGTTTCATTTGCAGTTCAATAATGATATTGTGACGCATTTTCAACATGTCTGTCTTAATAATTGCTATGTATGTATGTATGTATATATATATATATATATATATATATATATATAGCGCATACTTATGTTGCACATTTTTATGTAGATTTTATACAGTATGTAGTTGATGCTTGTTCCATGCTGTCAACTACAGCATGCTGTTCAGTGTAGATAGTTTATCAGCATTCAGGTCTTTTTCTTTTTGCTTAACAGACTGTTCTGCAATGTGCTCAGCTCATTGTCATGGGATCATTTTCCAGGTGATTCAAACCACAATATTTAACAGCAGTCAGTCAAATACACTGGTAGGCTACTCACAACAACGGCTTTTAACAATAATGCGCTCGACTGAGAAAGAAACCACTTGAGGTCACTGCAGTACAATGGATCAAGTGCAAAAAAATTAAAAAACTGCCTTGGGGGAAGTGTGGGCCTGACACTTAAAAAAGCACCGGAAGAAGGTCATACGAATTCTGGAGATGGTTAGTATTGTAATTATGTAGAAGTAACTGGGCAGTTTGGCACTCCATGCTTTGTGAAGAGAAAAATAAAAAAAAATGTAATGCATCAGAAAATGATAATTCTGCCAAGAGTGCCAAAAAGAGATAAATTATAGAAGTTAATCTGGGAGATTCAATAATGCTAGTATGCACTTTTTTTGTAGCAATGTTATTTACTATCATCAGGCAGGATACAAGAGTGCAGTAACAAAGAGCAGGTAAGTGAGGTCATGGGTCAGAATGGCCAGTGCAAAGGTTTTGTGTAGTCAAGTAAACCCAAAGCAAAGGTTTGGGTAAGAAGTTGTACACAGCAGTTTAAAAAGGGGCAACAATAAGCCTTTGTTTTGTTCAGCAGGTTGGTAGTCAAAGCCTTGGACTTCTAAAGTAAATACACTAGCACTCAAATAAATGTAGAGCCTTTGTTATGAACAACGCGTAATTCTTAGCAGATTTCACAAGGTGAAGAATCAGGTAATTTCCGTAAAGCACCTAACTTCAGGAGAGTAACTACCAGTAGCCCACCTTTAAAAAAACATTTCAATGTTTAGTGAATGCTTACATTTATCTCGTGAGCAAATCATAACTGAAAACATTTCCCTGGTGAACTTTTGACATATGAAGCACGAGGAAACATCTATTTGTTATACTCCCCCCACACAGTAACATAGACTCATCACATCGGTGGATACAGAGCATTTTATGCATTTATCATAATGATAATGTTGGTTCTAGGAGATCTGACCTGTTAATTTAGAGAGAGAAAATGCATGACAAATAAACATTTTCCCCTCAAAAACTAGCTAACAGTGAAAGATGTGAATAATTCTATTTTAAATATAATTTTGTGTGTATGTGAGACTGAGTTGATCCACAGTGAAAATGAAGGCACAGAAGAGAGTCACGAGCAGAGACAGCGCGGTGACTGAGGCTGGACGCTTTGTCAGTGAGAACTTGTAAATTGCCACTGTATTATAATTTGGCGTTTATTTTGGATGAATTGTGTTGTGACATAATTCTGAGTTAAATGTTGTCTGTCGTGAAGATGTTATGTGGTAAGAACTAGATTACCAAGGGAAAAGTTCGCAGTCATCGTGGCTAGCAGCTAGCACCGTTGATGCCGATTGAGTCAAATGATAAAGTTCACGCCACCTTTATTTCCAGTATTTGAACCGTATTTAACATTGGTATGTGCCGTTCTTTGTTTTTGCAGTTCAGCTGGACGTGTTTGATGGTTTTCACAAAGTACATTTACCTGACTCATTCGTCGTGTGAAATATTAACACTGAACTGATTGCTGATGTGGTGTTAGGGAAGCTGCCAATATCCCTCATCTATCATCATAGTTTTCGGGGGTTTTCTTCTTATATTTCTGAATATAAACAGAACAGTTCTGAGTGCATCCCCTGCCTTAGATTGGTGACCATCTGCCTCAGTTATAATGCACAGTTTATTTGTTTGATGTTAGAGTAAAACAGGATTATATTGTACACCATCCAGTTCAACTGTGATGAGGTCCAGAAACACCAGTTGCTGAGCTATAAACGACCAATATTTACTTAAACTGAAATATGGCCTCTTGGAAAATTGATGTTAATGTAATCTACCAATGCATGCAATCAAAATGACTAATGTTAACAGATATACCTGACTCCATAATGGCATGGATAGGATATCATGATGTTCTGATATTAGTCCGCAACCTAGTTTATGTGCTTATTTTTTCCCCCGCTTTTACTCAGAATTGAGCAATAAATGTTGGGGGAAGGAACGCTTGACTTCTGAATGCTCAAGCAAATATTCAACATTTTATTACTAATTTTATGGCTTTTAGACATGGAATGATTTAATTAGAAAAAAAAGTGTGTCTGATTCTAATGGATCGTGTCCTTCCATATATTGCCCTGTTGCTTGCCAATAAAATTAAAATAGGTGAAAATATAAAAGAAAACACATGCATTTATTACATTATGAATGCTGGCCACACAATGATATACTAAAATGTTTGTCCTTGAGCAGAAAAATGGATGTGTCTAAAAGGATCATCAGAAATCTGGAACCAGCGAGACCACTGCGCCGTTTGAACATAAATCAAGGTACAAAATGGGAATGTTCACACTGGTTTTGATCTTTATAAATGCAAATTAATATATTTCAGTTGATGCCAGTTTGATTATGTTTTTCTGTGTGTGTTGGTGTGTTTCTTTGGACATCTCAATTATAGTGCCTAAAAGTTATGCTGAAATTAAGCCGGTAGAAAAGCCAGTAAGACCAATTTTAATATTTTCATGCTTTGGAATTGCAGATGCTGGCATCTTTTTTTAAACTGATCTTTTTCCTCTGAGTGTTTTTGTTTTGTCCAGTAACTTTTCTTTTTACTGTGAACAGGACAACATTATTAAAGTGGAGCATTTCTATGAAATCCTGCATCTTCAAAGCACCAGCACCCAACCAAAGAAGAAAGGCAAGTCTGTTTCGGTATTAATTCCTTAAAAGTATCACGGAGATAATTATACCTGGAATTAGAAGAAAAAAAAATGCACTGATAATATAGAGTTACGGTAATACTTTTTGTTGTTGTTGTTGTAACCTGTAGCCGAAAGAATTTGCTACACTCGGGACTTCCTCATCAAGTTGGCAAGTTGTCCAATGGCTAAGAAGAAACCTGAGTTTTTACCAGAACATCCAATCGTTTTGGAGAATGGAGTGAGTTATCCACAGATTTGATTGGATTTTTTTTTCACTCTGATTTTTAAAGCACTTTCTGAATATGGTTTCTAAAGGTGTGTGATAATGAACATGCATTGCAGAAGTTTTCCAATTATCATCTTTTCACCCAATCTAGAGAACAAATGATGTGCCTGAGTACTTCATCAGCAACTACAACAACAATGAGGACTTGTAAGTGTATTCATCAAACTAACATCACAACCAGTGCAAGAGCCCGAGTTGACATTATTATTTTATGTTACATATTAATGTATTTCCTAATGGATGCTTAACAGTTTATCCATTTATACTTCTTTTCATAGGGCTGCTTAACGTGGGGAATTTCTTAGTCTTTTTTAAAAAATTTTAATTGACCTAAAACTGCACTGCATGCGGACCAAGTGGAAAGGATCACAGGTTAAATTGATCACTTTTATGGGTATGAAGGGTACAAAAACATTTCATCTTAAGCTTTTCAATGAAAACAGAAGTTATGTAAAGACAAACATTAATACAGTTAAGAAATTGTAAAAACTTCTAACAGGTGTTGCAATGCTTGTTCCTAACCAGTCCACAGTACAGAGAGTTAAATGATACTGACAGCACTGATGCCTTGATCCTCGCACAAAATTCCACATCCTAATTTGTCGTGGTAAACTCGTTCTCCTTTCTTGACCATACACTTTCGTTTTACCTTATCAAACTCAGGCTTTTGATCCTTGCCTAATGTAGGTTGTGTTACTACACTGCTCTAAAACAGTTGTTCTAGATTCATGGTCTGTGGTGTTAAAATTTGGTTTTTGTGGATATTTGGTCTTGAAGTGTTTACGATTGAAGTGCACCTTAAATTATAGACTGACTTCTGGCAAGTTCATATGCCTGAGTTACACTTTAGAGAGTCAGATTGGAAATGTTTTCACTTTGCTTAACTGTATCAAGAAGACTGGACATTATAGAGAGAATGAGACTGGCAAGCAAAACTCTCATTATCATTTGACAATTATTGAGCCTGTGGATGGGTAATAATAAGCTTTTTTTTTTTTAAAGTGAAGTTGGCTATTTTCATTTTTTGCAAGCATCACACTTGAAAATAGATTTCTTTATTTATATGCATACGTCTTAAATTTATTTAATTCATTGCTGTGAAGTGGATTGGAGCACCAAATATGTGTTTGTCACAGTACTGTAGCCTTTTCAGTATTATATTATTATCTTATTAAAGGTTATTAGAAAAAATGTTTAAAAAAATCGACCAATCTGGATCTTATGCAAGGATTTTTTTTTATTTCCCCTGATTTGCACATCTGGGCAGAGGCAATATTTGCTTTTTGTATCACACTGTAATTTGTCAACTCATTGTCTCCACTTGAAATTGGATTTTAGTCCACTAAATACACTCAGTAAAGACACTTCTCTTTTACATGCTGCTTAATTGTTTTTTTTGTTTTTTTTACATGTGTACATTCGAGCTAAATGCATAGTTTATTTTATATTGATTTTTTTTTTTTAAAGTGAAGTTGGCTATTTTCATTTTTTGCAAGCATCACACTTGAAAATAGATTTCTTTATTTATATGCATACGTCTTAAATTTATTTAATTCATTGCTGTGAAGTGGATTGGAGCACCAAATATGTGTTTGTCA